TTTGACACCGTTTTGGATATTTTGTGTCAAAGAAGTGGCAACGCTGCTTGTACCAGGACGATGGGGAATCCCTCCTCCTCCTCAAAATCGCACCCATGTCTCGCTGTACTGCTGTCGTTTCCACTCGGAACCACATCCATTCGACGAGTGCTCACAGGCTAGAAAAAAACTTAGATTTTATAAGGCCTAACACCAACAGAAAATGCGCTTACTATTCCGGTGCACATGGTCGTAGGTATTTAGGAATTATACCCCGTTCTGAACATGATAGTTTTTTCCTCGTGTGAATGTAACGCTGCAGGCGTGATTACAGTGCAAGTTTTGGGTGTCGGGGAAAAAATCCCACAAAATAAGTTTTCTTTGTTGCAACAGTGTTACAGCCCTTTAAACCCACTTTACTGAAAATGATTAGTTAGTACTTTGATTAGTTAGTACTTACGGTTTTAAACAGTAGCAAGACCGAATTATACAGGACAATGTTTAGATAAAAAATATTTCTATGCCAAAGGAGCCATAGGTGAGCCTAATCTTCTTTTGAAGATTACCTCAAGGTTTCTACCCTAGTATCTCCCGCCAAACAGACAGTCGAATATTTTAGAGGGTGGTAGATAGGCTGCATGCAGTCATGGGACCTAGGCTGCGTGCAGTCGTGGGACCTAGGCTGCACTTTCTCTTGGGACGTAGTTGGGTTTGGGTTAGGCCCACTTTTAGATGTTTCGGGATAGTTAAAAGGGTTCCTAATTAATTACTTACCCCAAATAGAGGGAATCCATGGGAAATTCACAGCTGACTGGACAGTCCACTATTTCAAGGGGTGCAAGTGTGCGGCTGCTGTAGTCTGGTCTTCTTGTTGAAGTGTATTTGGCTGGTGTACAATACTGGTCATGGTTTTAGACGATTTTGTTTTGTGAATGTGTAGTGTATTTGGTATCACATCCACGTTATGAATAGAAGGTGCCGCTTTCAATCCCTACGTGACTTTTTTAAAATGTAAATTGTACACTTTGGCTATGTAAACTCTATGTGCAATCGCAAGAATTGCCAACTAGGGTACTGAGGGGGGGGGGGGGGATAGGGAGGGGGCTATAAAGGGCCAAACATTATAGATGTATACTGCTGGGTTCACGCACGAATTGACAAGCACAGCAACTTTAAACGTTAGTAGACCTGGCCAATATTGTATTGGCACAAACATCCCGTAAATAGTTGCTCCATTTAACAGTCGTAGTCAGCTCTACTTGGCAAAATGAAATGCTTGTCATCTCTTGAGACCAGCAGTTTATAAACAGAATGATCTGTCTGTTCGGTAGGCGCGACCCTTTCAGCTATCTTCCTTGTCGTACTGGTATGTTCAGGCGACAGATGGACTTTCGACACCGCCAACGGTCGTGTCTTTCCGTCAGCGATAACACCATTTCATGCTTGTTTCTACAACTTCTCATGCTGTTGCAATGCTGGTCTCATTGTCAGGCACAATTGCTACTGATTGAAGAAAATTCATGGCGACTGCCATTAGTGATTGCCTTCTTTAAGTGTCTTGTCTAAAGCAGTCATCTCGCCAATCATCTCGGTGATCTGAAATGATGATGAAACTGGCATTGCTTGTATTATTCGCTTTTCTCTGTCTTCCTTGCTATGTATTTTCCATTTTAATTTGTAATTTCCAGAGGTCCGTACTCGGGCCGCAACGACTTGCCACTCGACTTTAGGTTTTGTCAAGAACTCGCGACTCGATTTACTGTAATAGTGTAATACCCGATGCACTCAAAACCTCTAGGAGTCTAGACGATATATGTAACTGTATGTTTTTCATTTGGAGTTTTGATATTTTATAGATTTTTTTTTCTTTCAGGGTCAGTTTAATAATTATTGTACGAAATATTTATTAGACATTTTTTTTTTTTTTTTTTGGATCATGTACGCTGTGGTAACTGCGATTACTCAAACTTTGAACTCACTGGGGTCAACGCTCAACAATCTGGCAGCCCCGGTACTGATTAAGAGCGCGCTTAATTCATACTAACTTTGTTTGAACTGATCCTCACTGTGTTGTGAATTATAGCTGTAATGCTGACTTTGTGGGGCTTTTCGTTGTCTTTTTTTTTTTTTTTTTTTATAATTGCTCACCTTCATATATGTCACTTCGAAAAACTTTTCAACATGCCAAAAGTAAAGCAGGATGAGCAAAGATTTCGGAAAGAGTGGCTCCAGGATGACAAAAATTAAAGACTAGGTGATGGCAGTTCCTGGGGATACGACTAAGGCTCGTTAAAAATACTGCAAGTGGGAAATTAAAGCGAAAATACAAGACTTAAAAGAGTCATGCAGAGACTAAAAAGCATAAAACTGCGGTTCCATTCAAAGAAATTACACCGCTGACATCTGTTTTCAGAACTACATAGATTATTGAACTATCAAAAGTTTAAGGATCTGTCGCAATGTTTTTAAGTTGTCATTGTGCAATTTCGAAATGTGACCATGTGATTGATTTGTTTAAAAACACTATTTCTGACAGTAAAGTTACTGATGACGTAAAAATGCATCACAGCAAGTGTACACATATTATAAGATTATTAGAAATACTTTATTTTCTCACTTCCAAAAATATTTGATCAGTGATATTTCTACAAATAAATATAGTTTATTATTAGACGAATCGAATAACATTTCTTTACTGAAAGTGTTTGGTTTGTGTATTATATGTTACAGCAACAGTAAAGACAAAGTAGTTTCTATATATCTTTGACTAGTTCAATTGGAAAATTGCGATGCAGAAAGTATAGTTCAGGAACTGAAAAACTTTGATCAGCAAACAATTAGACTCAAAGAATTTGGCTGCAATTAGTACCGATAATGCCTCGGCTATGACTGGTATCAACAATGGCGTTTATGCCAAACTGAAGGAAGATATTCAATCTTTAATCCTTATATAATGTGTGTGTCATTTCTTGTAGCTAGCATTATCACATGCTTCATCTGAATGTTTACCAAGGAATTTTGAATGTTTTATTGCTGAAACATATAACTGGCTTTTCAAATCATCTGTCAGATAACAGCAATACAGTAACTTATATTAAGCATTAAATGATGGTTCCACACCATCGAAAAATCTAGATGGTTATCAATTCAACCAGCTGTTGAGAGAGTTGTGAATCAATGGTTCGATTTAAATACACTTTAAAATAACAAGACAAAGTGAAAAGTGCTTACCAGGTGAAATACTATATGGAATGTACAGTGTTGAAAACAAAATTGGTATTCCTTCTCTTTTTACAACCTATTCTAATGGAAATGCAAAAAAGTTATTAACTGTTCGAATCTAAACATGTTGATAAAGTTAAATCACTTGACGATCTGTTTTGCTATTTCACTCAATTGGTAAAGAGAGTAGGAGAACGCTGTTTAACTTATTAGCTACCTTAGTCATTTTGGACATAAAGCTTTAACGTTATCATCCAAGTTAAGTTTATAGACATCGGTGAAGATAAGGATATGATGCTATAGAGTAAGTCATATCAATAGCTATGTAATTTGTGACTGTTTCATTTGGAGGTTATTTCTAGATGCCCCCCCCCCCACACCCGCGCAAATCTAGATATTTTTTACCCGTTTCTATTGTTTTCTGTCAAAGAAAAGTGCCAACACACAATGAGTGCCACACCGGGCGAGTGTGTGTTAGGCGGACACACGCCCGACTCTATTTATGGAGAAGGCGGTGGGCGGACATAATACATGTACAAGTTGTACCACCACCCAGGGCTACTAATACTGAGACCCCCCCCCCTCGATCTGGGTTTGTATATGACGCCTTTGGGATAAATCTGTTTTTTTTTAAATATATCCTTATATAAACGTGGTAAATGTTTCGTTTCGTAACTACAAATTGTGTACACATTAGCAATCTGATTTTTTTATTTTAAGAAGGCGGTGTACAAACTTGCTACTTTCGATTTCACTGTTTTAATTTTCCATCACAAGAGATTTCCCAGTACACTTCCGCTAAGCTTAGTTTATGTTTTGTTTTCCACATGGCCTGCACAAAAAGTGTCACCGACGCATTGTAAATACGGGTTGTAAGTGTCGTCTCAGTCATGGAGTCCATCGAAAACATTATGCGTATGGATAAAGAAAAGCTGGCTGCCCCCATCAAAACAGTCGAGGTGAGTCACTATATATTCATACATACGTACATACATATAAATTCATACATGATGATACATCATATAGATACTTTAGTCAAATTTTTAAAATGCCTGCTACACCAATAAAACCAGCACAGTTAGATAGCTGTAAACAATCTCTTTCCAACGGTACCCCATTTAGTCGTGTATGTCATTTCTGAGATGAGATGTGTAGGTTTTTTGTGGAGATGAGAAAAAACAGCTGTTGAAAACTTGCGTCACAGAAACAAGAAGTTTTCTCTGCGCAACCAAACTGCGCACTTTCGTTTTGGCTTTGTTTTCATTGGACACAGCCACATAAAAGCGATTGCCTGAAAAATGTCACTGTAAATCTAACTAGCCACTGATAAGAAAGAAATTTTATACACAAATGTAAAATTGGACGGAGAATTCAATTATTTTATACTAGCATTACCATGTATAGTAACAGTTAAAGCCTTAAGCCAACCTTGAATACTTACCGCTATTTTCAATCAAACTGATGTAACAGAAAAACAGAGGACGTCCGGCTGTCGTAGACATGCGCTGTTAATTGGGTTCGTTTCCGCCGTTATCAGCTATTTATAGCTGGTGAAAATCACACCAATCGCAAAATTTCATGAGAGATTAGGACCCATCCCGAAACCCCAGCCGACATTTCCCAAACAAGTTTCGAACGGTTTCCATGGTAACGGAAATTGCCAAAAGACCGCAAATTTCCGAACACCATAGTCGCTAATACATACGTACATACATAAATATAATATATTCATGATACACACGTACATTAAATACATATATATATATATATACATATATATATATATATACACACACACACACATATATAATTATATATATAATAGGCTATCTTTCGAATAACGGTCCCATACGAACTACGCAAAAAGGTTAACCCAAACAGAGCCTCGTTACGTCCTACACTACAAAGATTTGAAAGCTGTAACTTGAGAAATATTAGGAACGAAAAGTATCAGAAAAACTGGGGAATTCTACTACTTACCGATATTGACATCCTCTATACGTGAAAATTGTGACACAGACGTTGCAAATAGCGCCCGAATATCTGTTGTTTCTGCCTGTCCGCGATGTCAACAGGACGCGACTTGTCCGCAAGTCTTGTTCCGGGCAGGACATAATCAATACTGCGCGTTGTAATGTAAGCGCATATGGCCTCGAGTCAACGTCAAATCAGCAGTCGCCTCGAGCCAACGTCAAACCAGCAGTCGCCTCAGGACAACTTCAAACCACCAGCCGCTATGGAGCTACACTATTCCGACCACCCCTTGACCGTCGCGACTGCGACCACGATGGCAGTTCCGACGAAATAAGTAGGTATTGGGTGTTGTCCTGCTACTATATTGCTACATCCAAGAGTATCCCCTGCGCCGCTACACGCGGAGGGGGCTAAACTAGATGGCTGGGACTCACGAGCAAATACTTTGGAGGAAGCTGCGGTAGCTGCTGGTCGTGAGTCCCAGCCCAGAAACAGATTGGAAAAACAACACTGGTTATGACTACGGAAAAGATTTTCTGAGACACTTGAACAGAACAGACCAAGTCAGTTTTTCGCTTACGCACTGGACACTGCAGACTCAATAAACACTCATATAAATTAGGTATGAGCCAAACAGATCTCTGCCAGTGTCTTCGTGCTGAACAGACTCCAGAACATGTCCTGCAAGACTGTCCTCTCCTGGCGGAGCTGCGGAGCGACATATGGCAACACCCAGTAGAACTGACAACTAAGCTTTGGGGAAACCTAAGAGACCTTGAAAAGACATCCCAGTTTATGACCCACAGTGGATTATGCGCATGACCAGAGATCGCTGAAGAAGAAGAAGAAGAGTCCCAGCCATCTAGTTTAGCCCCCTCCACGCCGCACATAGCGGCGCATGGATACCCTTGGAGGTGGCACTATAGTCGGCGAAAAGCGATCGGCAACTTACATAAAACTCAGGCCCTGCCGTAGGATAGCGCTATCGGGAGTATTGTCTCGTGTCGGTAATTTTTTTCGTATGCAGTTAATCCTTGTTTTGCCGCCATCTAATCGCCGCAAAAAAATCCGTTGCGCTCCGTGAAAATGTAGCAGTTAATACTACTTTTGACACGGTTGAATCGCCGCAAAAGAAATGCGACTTTTACATATGTGTGAGGCTTTGTTTGGGTTAACTGTCTGTGTTGTGAGGCTCTGTTTGGGTTAACTGCCTGCGCAGTTCGTATGGGACCATTATTCGAAAGATAGCCTATATAATATATATACATACAGAGCTTAAGACAGTAGACCATATTACCTATCTGGGTTCCACAGTGAATAGTAAACTATCACTGGACCAAGAAATCAACATCAGAATATCCAAACAGTGAGCAGATTGAAGATTGACAAAGAGTTTGGGAGAACAGAGAAGACTGACAAAGAGTTTGGGAGAACAGAAAGCTCACATCTACAAAAACCCTTGTCCTTGTCTATCAGGCTTGTGTTCTCAGCACTCTGCTTTATGGCAGTGAAACTTGGTCAACCTATTTGCATCAGGAGAGACGGCTTAATACATTTCACACGTGATGCCTAAGAAGAATATTTATTTGGCATTAAGTGGCAAGACAAAATCACAAACACTGAGGTACTGGAAAGATCAGGTATTACAAGTCTTTCCCATGCTCAGTCTACAAAGGCTCAGGCGGCTGGGTCACACCTGGAGAATGGAGGATGGCAGTGTCCCTAAGGACATCCTTATTTAATGGTAAATTAAAGACAGGAAGAAGATGTTGAGGCCGACCTCTACTACGCTATAAAGATGTATAAGCGTGGCATGAATGATACAGGTATTAAGGCGGACTCATGAGAACAAAATGCCATGTACCGTGTTGTGTGGAAAGGGCATATCAGGAAGGGAATGAGACTGAAGGAAGAAAAGATTGCAGAAAGGATAAGAGCTGAGCGTCTGAAAAGAAACGGTTTAAACATAAATGACTCAAATGTTGACAAAAATGGTCCTGAAATCCCATGCCATCATTGTGGAAGACTTTTCTTGACTCTTTTCTAGTCACACTCGCCATCGCCATAGGCTGTGAGTCTCATGCCTCCTCATAGCGCAATTATAACACTATCGGCAGTGATATGTGTGGGTGTGTGTATATACTAAAAAGACCTTGATATATATATATATACACATACATAAATACATGCATACATACACACACACATATCACTGTGTTCATATTCGTGACAGAAAGACCAGACTGCTATATTATTTATGAAATATTTTAATAATAATAATACATGCACATCATACAAATGAAACTGCCATCACATCAATACTGTACCCTTATCTAACTGCTGAACCATTTGACACCAGGCTGGCGGCCAGCTGTTAAGTCATGATTGCTATAGGCAACTTTCAGGCCCTAGAAAAAAAATGGAGTTGTGCCGGTGGTTTTGGGAAAATTGTCATCTTATGAATATGACTGTAAGGTCCAGTACAAGAGTGACAGTCTGTGCCACACAGTTCATTTAAAGTAAATACGTTGATTCTGTTTTATGTGGAAGCTAGTTTTTCTTTCAGGCATCTGACTGTAGTGGCTATAGCTTGCTGTGTTTGGCCTCTTGCAAAGTGTGACAGTTAGTCTTTGCAGATCTAGAACACCTCATATTATATTCCTTGTATTCTGTTTACCCAGCTCCAGAGCTGCGATTCCAATGTTTTGGCTTTCTTTGTGTGAGTACAAGGGTTATGGTCCATATGTCAGGTTCTCCACATAGACGTAGTCCTGTTTACCCAGCAAGGCAAACAGACCATGGCGAGACAGTACCTTACTGACTGGTGGCTGTCCAGCTGAGGCAAGCTGTGGCTGTCCAGCTGAGGCAGGCGGTGGCTGTCCAGTGAGATTACGATGATCTCTGCCACCGTCAGAAGCTCCCTGGCACCTTGCTCTATATTGGATATAGTTTTCAATCACTTAGAATTATTAAAAATCATCTTTTGTAATTCATCCTTTTACAACAATATAGAAATGCTTCTCTCTCTCTCTCTCTCTCTCTCTCTCTCTCTCTCTCTCTCTCTCTCTCTCTCTGTGTGTGTGTGTCTCTCTCAGCCCACCCCTAATGCCTGGGTGATATTGTCTATTACTCATTTGGTGAACTTCCTACTGTATGACAGACCATGGTTCAAAGGTCTGTAGAGTCAAAGAACTTCTGAACTGCTGAGACTCAGCACTAGACAAAGATATTTTCTTGGCATTTTAGATGGTGGTATCTCACTTCAGTTTTGTCACTATATATCCTTTGTTGACCCTCAACGTCGCTGTCACGGTGTTAAGGTACACCAGGACAATGTACCACCATCAGTCATCTTATTAGGCTCAAATGTTTCTCACTCACAAATCCTCTGGCATATTAATCGTTCTTTTCTTTCTAATAATCATCATTTCGGAATTTTCATACAGTAAAGGACTTTACCGTTTGCTAAATATTTACCTTTTTTTTTTTTTTTAAATAATTATTTACAGGAGAAATGGAGGCTTCTACCAGCTTTTCTGAAAACTAAAGGACTTGTGAAACAGCACATAGACTCTTTCAACTATTTCATCAATACTGAGGTAAGATTCTGTTTTCTTCTTTCCTATCCACCCACTCACCTCTATTGCTTTAGCTAATTTTTGTGTGTGTGGCATTAATGTTCAGATGTGGGTCGCCAGAATGCATTTCTGAAACAATGTCATTGTAAGTTATATACTGTTTGAAAATAAAGTTAACACATAGTTATACAGTGGCACATTTTCTCTTCTTTTCATTTACTCGTAGTGACGTGTGCGTTGTACCTGTTTACAGGAGAGCTGTGATATTTGCACCTTTTGACCTATGCACCCAACTTCGTCAAGCATTTATTGACCAGGTTTAACTTCCCGGATAGTTTCAAGGGACATGGCGTATCCTTATTTGTGTGGTGTTCTCTTTGTTGCCTTATCTACAGGTTGCCTCTGAAGAGCCTATCCGGGGCATCCGCATGTAGACTGGTCAGCCTTCAAGGGAAGGCAGGGGCATATCAAGGCATTCCTTGCTGTCCAAGAAGGTTTCAATAAATACGGAGCCAACACATGATGCTCTGATCCTTGGCTGACCCAAGGGATTGTCATGTCCTGCACTTGACTGCTTAACCTCACATCCATATGTTGAGCTTTCCATTCATCACAGGCTGGGCCCTCCGGTGATCTGCAGCACGCAAATCTGGGACTTCAATGACCACACAAATAGATTCTGTTTTTCTTCAGCACTTTATAGACACCTTTAACCTTGCTTCATATGTAGGGCAAAGGCATGCATCCAGCATGGCTTCGTCTTTTAAGTCTGAACAGTCTGGTGAGTGGGGCCAGTGGTAATAGACACTTGAACCTGTCTGCCACTTAGTTACTAAAAAGACCTTGTTTCAGTATTACTCTGAGACAAACTTAAAAAAAAAAAAAAAACTAAGGATACCTTGACTGGTAAATTTGGCTATGAACCCTGTTAGTAGGACTTTTGCTGTTAGATATTAGGGACTTTGATAAGTTATAAGACAGGGCTCTCTGACTAACATTTGTTCCATATCAGCTAACATATAATTTTGTGTACTTTAAATCTAGGCACTATAAAAAAAAAAAAATTATCTGCATTGGCAAGGCAACAGCAGCTTTTAAAAGTCTGAACAAAAAATAGAGCTCCAAATTATATAGGTATAAAACCAAGCTATGTATTTTGATTTCAAACTTTTAACAGTCTTAACATACGCCATTGAAATTTGGAGAATCACTAAAGACATGGAAAGATAGTTAAATGCATTCAAAAAACAAATACTTGAAGAAATTGATAAACTGTAAACTGGATAAATTCAATAAAATAAGTGAAATTTCTGGACAACTGCTGGTGTCATCAGTTATAAGACCAAGAAGATGACACTATACTATACAATTGGATGAGGGAGACTTCCAAGAAACCCTGCAAAAGGCTTTTTTTGGGAGTAGCCAAAGGCAGTAAATTAGATTCCATCATTGACATTGATGTGGTTGTGCACAACAAAATTGAATAATGGACTAGACAGTGAGCCCTATATGTATAAGTGATGACGTAAATAGGGTGTCACTGCAGTCAAGCTGATTGCAAGAAATGCTGAATTGAATATAACACAAAAATTAACTAGAGGGCTTAACAAAAGGAATGGAAAAGAGGCAGACGAACACAACCAAACGTTTCGATCAAAGTCTTTATCAACGGAATACTAAATACACCACAAACTGTGACTGGAAAACTCAACAATCAAGACAAAGGAGTTAATAAAAAACCTACGGCAACATGAAACCTAGACGTGGGGAAAATATGAATATGAAGAGCTGTATTACAAAACAAAATAAATAAGGCATATGTGAAAAGAGGTTGAGAAATATGAATAAGTTAAATAAATGAACAAGTAAGCAAATTAATTAAAATTAAATAAAGCTGTTGAATATGATCCCTCCAGGGCTAAGAACACCAAAACTCTGAATGAAACAATTTTCTTATGAGTAGCGGCTGGTTTGATCCCTGGAGCAAGATTAATAGCAGTGACTGAGATATTGTTATCACCTTGGTGGTCAGAACTGTTAAAAATTAATGGAGACAGTTTGAGAGCCTTATTGCGGATGTCAGCAAGATGTTCACTGACGCAATCTGCTAGCTTCCTACCAGTTTCCCCAATATATGCCTTTTTACATCTTTTGCAGATGATGGCATAAATTAGGTTACAGAATTTGCAATTGAGTCTTTCTCTAATGTAAAATATACCCTCCAGAAAGCAGGCCGAAGGGGTTTGGATCACAAATGGACATGTTTTACATCTTGTACGGGGGCATTTGGAAGTACCAAAAGGAATTAATGTCTATCATACAGGTGTCAGGATCCGAGTGAAGAATATTAAGGTGATGATGGAAGATTTTAGACACAGCCAAATTATTAGGGTGAAATGCTTTTCCATATACATATACATATATAATATATATATATATATATATATATATATATATATATATATATATATATATATATATATATATATATATATATATATATATATATATATATATTTAGGTAAGTTGTACCCCACTAGGACAACACACAAGCGATAAACACCCGGTGACATAAAGGGCCACAGCGCAGATGAGGATCACCCGTGGAGTGGTCCCGAAAACCCTGATCAGCCGTTAGGCTGTATTTAGGGCCCCCGGCAACAGCCAGGGTGGGGGTTCAAAATAACTAAAAAATTCTTCCCACATGGGGATGACACTATAATAGTGTACAGCTATATACACAGAAATTTTGTTTATTAGTGTTGACATGTGCATTTTGTTGACCTAAGGCTTTTCTTTTTCAGATTAAGAAAATTATGAAAGCAAATGACAAAATTTTAAGTGATGCTGATCCCAATTTTTATCTGAAGTAAGTGCTGAAATAAATTTCATTTTCACTGCTGTAATTTTTTCTAGATTAATATGTTAGCGAGTTGTGTCCCTTTATAAGATTATAAAGCTAATTTACTAATGTTGCATTAGTTTACTTTTGAAGTGCCATTGTAATCTTACATTGACAGCTATGACTGTCACTTTAGCAGTATATCCAATGTAAATATTTGTGTATACATACGTGTCCAGTCAATTTCAGATTTGTAATAATTATGTTGTTGCAGTTCTATAGTAGTTTGCAAATGTTATTTTTTAGGGAATTTTACAAAATGTTATATTCTTATTGATGTTATATATTTATTAGGTACCTGAACATTTATGTTGGCATGCCCAGTGTACAAGAAAGCCTTGGTATTGCTCAGACAGTTTCTCCACATGAGGTTCGTAGTCTGTAACAAGATAGTAACATTTAATGTATGGCACTAACATTCTTCATGATCATTGGCATGCTATAGATTGAAAAAAGACATGGCATAAATGGAGAAGTTGACATTGCAGGAGGCTTTTACTTACTTACTTAGTCGCTCCTCTTCTACCTTGGGGTGTAGAGGTTTGCCAGAGAGATCACCAGACGTCTCTATCAGCAGTTTTCTTTCTGGCTTTGTTCTATTCCAGTCCTCTGTCAGTTTGGGACTGTCGGATGTTGTCTTCCCAGCGCATCCTGGGTCATCCCGGAGGTCTGGTTCCCTGGTTCTTAGCCTCCCATGCTTGCCACGGTGGCCGATTTTCTCCCATTCTGCATACATGTCCAAACCATCGTAACTGTGACTGATCTACTCAGGTTAGTAAGGGCTGGGTATCAAGATCTTGACGTATTGTCTGATTGCGGACTTTGTCCCTTCTTGTCACTTGGACCACCTTTCTCAGGTATCTCATTTCCGAGGCCTGCAGCTGGCTTCTGTGAGCTGTTGTCATTGCCCATGACTCACACCCATAGGTCAGGACTGGTACATAGGTAGAGCGGTAAACAGCCATTTTTGTCCTCTTGCCAATTTCTCTTTTGCTAAGAAACCCTCGGTTTATGGCCTGGAAGTCTCCCAGCAGCTGTTTTAGCAGGAGGGTTTTGCCATCTGTAACATGTGCAGCAATATAGTGTTGAGCTAAGAACACTCGACACATTGCTATAAACGCTCATCTTCATCTTCAGCAGCCGAAGAAGTGTTCAATTATGATGGTGCCATTATCAGTTTGAGTATATGTCCATCTTGCTTTTGCTCTGAGTGTAGTGTCAACCAGATTCCTTAGTCACTCACAGCTGTACCCTTCTCTCCAGCCCATATTGTTCTGCCTCTACATTGTTTACCTGCTCCCGAAGGACCTTGACCACATCAGGTTTGTAAATCATTCATGGGGGGGGGGGCTGCATAAAAGCAGAGCTGGTGGTTTATCCTTGTCCTTAATTGGTTTGGAAATCAGTACTGAGCAAGACAGACGGTCACTCTCCTGATCACCTGGGACCGTTCATTTTGTGTCCAGTATTGCTGACTGGGTATCAGAAGCCAGGTCATTTGCTGTTTGGCCTCCCCCTTATTTATACAGATCCTTTCTGCATTCACCATAGCTTTTGCAAGGGCATTGCCTTGTCTGTTTCCCTATTGCTGTGCCACACTCAGCTCGACACACTGAAATACCCACAAATGAGTGACCTATTTTCACTTGCAATAAGATATAAATTATGCAACCAGTGAAGTAGACTGATTCTTGCTATGTCAAGTGCCTTGGTTGGTTGATTTCTTTTCATCTGGCAGTCATCAGCAGCATATGTTAGTTCCCGTACCACTATGTACTGTGCCATAATAACTTGTCTCCATACGTCTTCTTAAAAAGAGAGGGGGGGGGGTGTCTTGTTTGTTGAAGTAATAATCTTTGGGTGTGAGCAAGGGTAGTTTGAAGGGTGAAGAGTGATTGATAATAGTCCTGTTGAGTTGGAGGATGCCCGATGTGTGAATGGGTTGGTTCTTTAAGTTTAGACGCATAATGCAGGAACTGTGGCAATATGTTAAGAGATCATTCTAGGTAGTTGGTGTTGTTAAAATGGATTGTTTCATGTGTATAGTCACTGCTTAATTTACGAAAGATGGTAAAACCATTTCTTATCTGCCAATTTGTTTTTGCTTTTGTTACTTCTTTCTTCCTCTTACACCTGTCATTTTTATTTACTTTTTTAAAACACTTCTGTTTTCAGTGCCGTTTGCGAGACATTACATATTCAGCACCAATCACGGTCGACATTGAGTTTGTTAGAGGAAAGCAGATCTTCAGCAAAAAAAATGTTGAGATTGGAAGGTATATATTATGTCTGTTTGTATGTCATGCTAAGTAACATCTGGATCATGCCAAGTAACATCTGGATCATGTTCAACCAGAAACATTTGTCTTCATTGCTGTTGATAAGTTTGATTACTGGCATTGTTTATTCTTTTTTGGCAACCCATCCAACATTTGCAGCTTGTGTTTAACACTATCATTCGTCCTGTTTCACAGCTTTCTCTAGATCTTGTTGTCTCATGACATCGGTAACAATTTTTAAAGGAATATTTTTATTCATTTTTTTTTTGTTAATTGTTTCCCCAAAGGAATGAATGAAAGGCAGTTATCGCAGACATGGATGGAGCAGAAAATATAACCCCTTTCTCCTTTGGTCTTACAAAAATAATTCATACCAGGGCCTTTGACCATGGTTACTAACATAAAGTAAAGCTCCCTTTTCTACACCTTTAGGAGTATTGTAAATATAGGGCTAGGCCTATATTTTTTTAGACCAATTGGCACTTGGTGGGTGATGTAGTCAGCATCACGCCGGCCACCTTTACTTCCTAGGACTGCACATGGTACCCACTCAAAGCTTGGTCGACCTGGGAGTCAATGCCATTTTTAAGGAAAAAAATCTGGTTCCGTCAGGAGGTACGCCCTCCGATCCGGAGGCAGGCATCTAGCCGCCAACCCCACGGCTTTACCCTCTGGTTACTAAAGGCACAAGGGAAATTATTACGTCATGGCTAAAAGCCATTTTGTTCCACAATAACCTAGTGAAATTGTTAGTAAATGTAATCATATCTCTGTCACTGCGCAGATGAAGACAGGGCTGATGCTGTTAACTGTGTTTCCCAGGTATTCGCCAATGCCAAAAAAAAGCTGCTTCTTAGAAATTTGTAACTGGTAGAGACATATGGTTTGTGGCTTCACAGGCACAAGTCTTACATATTTTAAGTAGGAGAATATTTATCTTTAAATGTCTCAACAGTTCTGCAACATTTAAAGATATTTTTCCTTTATGTGTTTAATTTTTAATGGATTTTCAACATTCATTCTGTATTTTGTCAATCTAATTACTGTTTACTGCTAACAGTTTATTTTATTCGTTTTGTAGTTTATTTAGATTACCTATTTTGGTTACCTATTGTTTGTTTTAGAATGCCTATTATGTTACGGAGTTCCAACTGTGTGTTGACTGGAAAGACGGCAGCAGAGATGGCTCAGTTGAATGAATGTCCCATGGATCCAGGTGGATATTTTATTGTGCGTGGCACAGAGAAGGTTATTCTTATCCAGGAGCAGTTGTCAAAGAACAGGATGATTGTGGACACTGATAGCAAGGGCAACATTGAATGTTCTGTCACCAGGTAATTGTTGGAGTTTTTAGTTTGTTTTAGAGGGTACTCAGGTAACTTAACATTGTCATGAATATTATTTAATATATAATTTTCTTTAGACTGCTTCTACTTCTGATATGGGTAGCTGCTTCTCTTGGTGTTAATTTCTTTTAAGACATTTTTTAAATGTGTTTGATCTGTTCATGGTATTTTCATCGTTCTAAAACACCAGCTCTCTGCAGCTTTCATATAATTTCTGATAAATCTGCTGACTGTTGATGATTTACTTTCATAAATCAGGATTGGCAGAACGTAGTTACATAGAAACGTTCTTACCTATCCCACTTTGCAAACATTTTTCATTTTGTAAAGTGCTATTTTTAGCTATTTTAAATTCAAAATATTTATCCAATCTTCTGTCGGCAATAAAAGTACTGAAATTCTTAAATACATTGTCTTGCTTCAGACTAGTCCCCCTTACTTTGGTATTCAGACTTTTTACTGACACAATGTTTTAATAGACCAGGCTGTTATCCATGAGTGATGGGGATATTATTATGTTGACTGTTTACCTTCCATTTAGCAGTATATATTTTAAGCTGGGTTGGTCTATGAAAGAAATGTTGAATTAAGAATTGACATCACAGCACTCATGGCAACCCCATAAGTGCTTTGTCCCTATCCTTAGCAGGTGAAGAGTTCTAGTTCTGATGGCACCAGTAACTGTATATCTGTCTCACCTTTCCCTTAAGCGTTAAGCGTCGGCCAGATTGACTGGTAACTCCTCGCAGGAGGAGTAAGGAATCATCACAGCTTTGCTGTAAACAGGCACAACGCAATTATATTATCAGGTGAACAAAAAAGCAGAAGATACTCTTTTAGCCTAAAACAGGTTCTCAATAGAGTAATTTGAATACTTGATTAGTCTTAAAAAACGCACGGCATTGATTGAGTGGAGAACACAAAATTCGAAGATCTCGATTTTGCAGATGATAGTATTCTGCTAAGTAAGAACAGCAATAACACGATGATTTAGCAAACATAGCATCAAAAATTGGGCTACAAGTTATGAATCGATAAGTATATTGATGGCACCGATAACAGATCAAGCAGATGTGAAACTAGAGACAAAAATAGTTAAAAAGACAGGACAATTAGATATTAATCTTTATAGTTAAAGAGACATACAGAAAGAAATATGACACGCCTTGGCAAGGCATACGCAGCTTTTAAATTGTTAGTTTCTTCTTTATTGTTCGTCTGAGTGACATAAGTACTTTCAGCCTGTTTACAGTATAGCTGTGATATTTGTCTTTTGGCGGCCACATCCAACTTATTCGGGCATATGTTATCTGGGCTGGTTTTGTGGGACATTTGTGGCCTGATATGTTGTGACTTCATCGTTCCCGGACCCACAGATTTTTTGTCCCTAGAGGACAGCCATGTGCAGCTCGGTTGGCCCTCAAGGGAAGGCAGAGCCTGGGCATTCCTCGTTATCCAATCGGGCTCTCATAGTGCAGGACAGATAGATACTCGGCTAACTCAAAGAATCGTCATGTCCTGCACATGACTGCTTAACCTCAGTCCCTATATTGAGGGTTTCAATCACTTTGGGCTGCCCCCTTTAGTCACCTGAGACTCTGATTGCCTATTAGATTTTCTCTTTGACAATGGCGCCTTTCTCTCGGTTGTCTCAAGCACTTTTGTGGCATTTATAGAAAACCTGCATCAGGCATGGTTTCCCTTTATGTCCTTACATTTTCAGAAACGAGTGTGGCCATTCTTAGTAATTTAAACTGGTGTGTCTTAGAGTAAAATCTTTGAGCTAGGGACATCTGAATCTTTGCTCTTATTCAGTGGAACACATAATGGACATTTGAATATAAACAGCCATACAGTAAAAGTCCTGGGTGACAGATGTTTGAAGAAGGGTTTGTGAAGCAATAGGACAGTTGGAAGAGGGACATTTGAATCCTAGTTTATCATTCAGTAGGCTACTCGGCCTTGTTCTAACTGAATTTTCTGTGTGTTATCATTTGTGCATAGAGGGTGCTGATGAGTGAGTGCCAAAGGATTTCTGAGCAGTGCTCAGACCAACTCTGGGATGCCGGTGTTATTTTACTTTTAAAATAGGCTAGTGGAAGTTGCCAAACTACTAAAAATAGGGAATGAAAGTTATGTGCAGTCTAAAACAAATGCCTGAGGAAAATGATAAACATTGTACGGAAAGGATGGTGCTATATTGACACATTCTGAAAAGACACTTTCAGAGAATCACCAAACAGCAGGCACGAATAGGGTGAACGAAGAAACGAGGATGTCCAAGGGAAACCCTAAGATGAAAGCAGATGAGAGAGGCCAAAGATGCTGGAGTGGATTCCATTCATCATATCGAAGTGATTGCACAGAATAGAGACTACAGACTGCGAGTCCTATATAACATATAATAGCACAACAGGACAGTGATGATGAACATGAATACTAACACTAATTCCTGTTTTGTTTCAGCTCCACCCATGAGCGCAAAAGTAAAACATATGTCTATGTTAAAAGGGACAGGTATTACCTGAAACACAATATATTCTCAGAGGTAAGATTAAACTAAGGTAATAAAACATTATGTTTCATTGTAAGTGTTACAAATGACAGATGCATATAACTGAATGGACACCTGAAACAAGTTACTTGTGAAACCTGAAACCTCCTGCTGGGTGAGTTGAAGCTGGGAGACATTTCACATCAATTTTTCTGCATTTATTGCTTAGTAGAAAGTAGTTAATATTGTATAGAGAGATGAGTCTGCTGTAGTGTCACAGCATATATTTGCAGTGTAGTTATAAATTGAAATTGCAGTAAAGATGTATGGTAGGTGTTTGTAATTAGAAGTTCATGACTTGGACATGCACTAATAATGAGGTGTCACCAAGGAGGCTTTGCTGATCTTGCGCTTTATTGTCTACAGTATTAAAGAATTTCTTATAAACTGAATATTTACTAGTTTCTTTGAATTCATTCACTCTCGTACATAAATTTCTTTTGATACTTTTGACATTTTATTTCATTTAAAGGGTCCCCTTTTCCAGGCCTTTAGGCGTATTGGGAATATAGGGCTAAACCTTTATTTGTATAGACCAATTGCCACTTGGTGGGTGATGTGGTCAGCATCATACCGGCCGCCTTTACTTCTCAGGACTGCACCTGGTACCCACTCAAGGCTGGGTCAAATTGGGAGACAGGGTCATTTTTGAAAAAAGTCTGGCTCTGTCAGAACGCGAACCCATGACCTTCATGTCTGCAGGCGAGCGTTGAGCCACCAATGACACAGCAACTTTATTTCAATAGAAAGGATGTATTTACTCAGACCTGTCCTCCAGAGTGATTTTACAAAATTGTAGCCACATATTATGTAATTTTCCCAGTCAGGTGAGTAGACCTGTATCTACATTGACCATTTCCCCTCTGCTGTTTCCTATACTTTTCTTGTTCAGAAAGATTACCATTGATTAAACCTTATTCCAAGCTCAGAAAGATTACCATTGATTAAACCTTATTCCAAGCTCAGAAAGATTACCATTGATTAAACCTTATTCCAAGCTCAGAAAGATTACCATTGATTAAACCTTATTCCAAGCTCAGAAAGATTACCATTGATTAAACCTTATTCCAAGCTCAGAAAGATTACCATTGATTAAACCTTATTCCAAGCTCAGAAAGATTACCATTGATTAAACCTTATTCCAAGCTCAGAAAGATTACCATTGATTAAACCTTATTCCAAGCTCAGAAAGATTACCATTGATTAAACCTTATTCCAAGCTCATTGTAAAACCCGCTTAAGTTGACTGTTTTCTAGGAGTCTCTGGCTTTCTGACTACAGTGCAGTCTGTAAATGATCATTCTTTCAAATATTTTCAGATGATTATGATCAGTTCTTGTGCTGATTATAAGTCCAGAATTCTGGATTTTCTGGTTTCCTTTTCTTTAGAATGTTAGGTACTTCATCACTGCTATATTGGATATAGTATATCCTTGTTAAATGAATACACTTAAGAAGAACACAAGGTTTAACATGAATAAAATGTTGGTCCCAACAGGACTCTCCATTTAGCACACATTTTTTACACAGACTCAGTTTTCACTGCCTTGGAATTGTGTTAATGTGATTTTACTGCAGTTTTCACCCCCATCTGTTTATGTCTGTAAATGTATATCTTGTCTCACTGATTTTATGCAGAGCTGCTAATGCTACATCATTTAATTATTTTCTTTATGGTTGCTCTTTCAGTTCTTAACAGAATCTTCTCAGTATGTTTTTGTTGCTTTTGTGCATTTTCTGGATTTGTTTTACTCTGTTCATCCTTTTCTATATATGTTTGCTAATGTTGATTAGTCCTTTTGGGTTATGATTTTCTTTTTTATCATTAAGAACAGTTCCTTGTTTGTGTGTCACAGAGGCTGACACTTTCTTGTGTTGTTGATTTTAATTATATATGTGTATTAGTCTTTGTTAACTTTTAGACTAAGATTTCTGAAGTAAACATGTAAATTAATTGCAGAAGATGGTACAGTTAGTGCAAATCAGTGCTGTGCCTTTGTTTGAAGACGTATCTTTACATGCACTTGTACTTTGCAGGATATCCCAGTGGCCATTGCTTTCAAAGCAATGGGAGTTGCTTGTGATCAAGACATTGTTCAGTTAGTTGGCAATGAGGAGGAAGCATTTGATGCTATATCACCATGTCTTGAGGAATGTCACAGAGCACAAGTGTTTACTTCTCTACAGGTAACTTTAGAGTTTGTTCCACAAGTTCTGCCCAACTTTTAAAATCTGTAACTCTGTAACTGTTCTGTGTAAGTTGTTGAAATTTAGAATGCAGCCTGTTAATAATCTTGAGCTTGTATTTTTTTTATGTAAACAAACATCTAGTTTTCACTTTGCCTTAATTAAGGTAAATGTAAAAACAGACACTATTTCTAAGCATAAACAAACATTTAGTTTTCATTTTGCCTTAATTAAGGTAAATGAAAACACAGACACTAATTCAAAGCAAACTTTTATTATACTTAACAATAACTTGAGTAAATTAAGTAAGGGGACCTCAAAATATCAAACTGCACATTTGTCATAGATGTTTTGTTCTCAGGTTGTCCTTTGCTGTGAGTTGCCATTTATTCACTGCATGGGGAGGGGAATAGGCTATCAAAATAATCACTATGCATCACTGCAAATATGAACTGCTTTCCAGACAATCTCCACACATATGTATATTTATTTTTAAAGGGTACATAAATTAATAGTCAAACAAAGATCAAAGAAATTGGACGCTGTAAGAAAACGCCAGCATCTTTGCAATTGTAAATTACAGGATCATAAGGACTTGGAAATGTAAGGCCACGTGCAAAAGTTTGTGTTGATTGTTACAGGAGTTTTCAAGAAATTTGTTTAAGTGTCACGGCATGAGTTTTAAAAAATACCCATAAATTCAGAGTAATATTGACAATTGAAACAAACACAAACCTGTGCAGATATGTTTGCACGCGCCCTGATACATACAAACTGTATTTAATTTCTTTTTAGCATTGATTTTCTTAATGTCTTCAGGTGTTTTAATCTACTGACTACCAGGATGGCACCCGCTACGATCGTAACTCTAGACGCTTACCGCCATTGCGATAAATATAGTTGAAGCCATTGGTCCAGTCCTTTCTCTATGGCTATTTAAGGGAAACAATTTGGTAGTGCTTAAAGTAAAGTTTCGAAAAATATATTTGGTTGGCTCCCAAATTCTATTATTCATTAAGCACATTTTTATAATATAAATTGGCTGATTGGTCAATCCAAAAAAGCGTCTCACGGAAAAGAAATCCAGCCCAAAACGCACATTGTGGGAATAGATCACCTGTGAACGTGGAGGATTGTATTGTGAAACTATGATGGAACGGCGACACAGGCGGACAATTCTTATCAGCTGTCTGTACTGGTGGCAGAGCACTTGTGGTTTATAACCGTGTGCAGTGACGCTGGTTCACATCTCCCGACTTTACCTTTACCTTTATTCTTACTAACTGCCATCAAAAACATAGACAAAACTTAAAGATGAGACTTTTAGCTTACGGCAGTGGTGTACCAGTTGGGAGTAGGATTGTTATGTTACATTAGTTCCCATTACCTGTTTCATGTGTGTTCTTCAGCTGTGTATTGTTAGGTGTCTATGCTAGTGTGATTGTTTATATTATGGTTCTTTGTCGTAAAGTTTAGCGAAAATAGTTTCACAGTGCAATCCTCCACGTTCACAGGCGTTCCGTTCCCAAAGTGTGTATTTTGGGATGTTTCTTCTTCTTTTTTTTTCTGGTCGCTTTTTTGGATTGGCAGTTCAGTCATACAGCATACTGTAACAGAAGTTTTTGATGCAAAATTGCAAAAGGTTACTGAATTATTTCACAGTCAGGCAAACTCACATCCAGGATTATTTCAGAAAAAAAAAATTCTTATATTGGTGTCAAGATTTTTTTTTTTGAGGCCTGTTTTTTGTTGTTGTTGTTGCTTGCACCAGTGTGCAGCCACATGATGATGTAAAACAAGATTATGCAATTTATATATTTTTTTTTGAGTGTGAAATGTGTTTTCTTTTCAATGTACCAAAATGCAAAATATAATGAGTTTATGTTAAATAGTTGTAAAGCTATGGCCATTTTGTTGGTCTATATTGTCAAATAGTTGTAAAGCCATACCCTTTTTGTAAGTCTATATTGCTACCAGGAAAAAGAATTGTGACGTTTTTTGCACCAATCATTATAATGATGTACAACAAGATTACACAATTTTTTTTGCATTCTTGGAGATTCATTTAATCTGGTGCAAAAGTGCACAGTATTCTGAGTTTATATGAAATAGCTGTGGAGCTGTGACATATTTTGAAGTCTGAGAAAAAAGATTTTTCGGTTGCCTTTTTTGCACCAATTTGCAGCCACACCATGATGATAATGTCAAACAAGATTATGCAGTTTTTATTTCTTGAAATTTGTTCTTCTTTCAGTTTGGTGCACACACAAAAATATGTGGAGTTTACACTAACTAATTATGAAGCTAAGGCATTTTTAGTAGACAAAAAAAAAAAACACATGGGATCTGGGAACGTGCTAGGATTAACGGGTTTGGTAGTCATTATCATCATCATCAGTTCTCGTTATGCCTAGTGGCACATGAGGCTTCAGAGAGGACTTTCCATGCTTTCCTGTCCTGTGCAATTTTCAGTGCAGTTTTCCATGTCAAAGATGCTGCACTCAGGTCACTTTCCATCGTTCGTCTCCATGTTGTTTTTGGGCGCCCCTGTTTTCTCTTTCCCTCTGGTGTCCATGTGAGAGCTGTTTTGGCAGGTATATCAGAAGTCATTCTCATAACGTGGCCAAGCCATTTCCATCTTCTCTTGGTAATCATACTGTCTAAAGTTTCTTGGTTTGTGGCTAGAAGTAGTTTAGTGTTTGAGATTGAATCTGGCCAGAAAATTTTGATAATTCTACGTAGACATGTGTGGTGGAAGGTGGACAGCTTGTGTGCATCATTTTTGGTCATTCTCCAGCATTCCGCTCCATAAAGAAGAACTGGCATAATGATGCTCTTGTAGAGTCGGAGTTTCGTTCCTCTGCAGTAATTGTTGGATTTCCAGATTCGCCTCATCCTTCCAAAAGCAGCTCTAGCTTTGTTCAGACGTGACTGTATGTCTTCCTCTGTCCCTCCCAGTAGGGACACCACACTGCCAATATATGTGAAATGTTCTACATTTTCAAGTGATTGGTTACTTATGGTCACTGGTTGTTGGTTTGGACTGTTTGTCATGATCTTAGTTTTTCTTTGTATTTATTCTCAGTCCCACCATTTCTGCTGTGCAGTTTAGTCTGTTACTTTTCTCTTGTATATGTTCATGTTTATGTGATAGGAGTGCTATATCATCTGCAAAATCAAGGTCCTCAAGCATGGTGAATGGAGTCCATTGTATGCCTCGTTTCGTAGTCATTGGGTTAAGTAAGTTTTTTTTTTAACCTTGTCTTGTACTTTTGTTTTTAACAGTCAACCTTTGCTTAATTACAACAATCCATTTTTGTCAATCAGGTCCTGTTTTCTGTTGTCTTCTTTGTTGCAGTTACTGTCAGTACTGTCTTTCGCCACCTTATCCAGTAACATTTAATCTTCTAATTTAAAACCTTGTTTGCTGTTTGTTACAGGCATTGGAGTATGTTGCCTCAAAAGTACGACAAAGAATGTATGGGAGCAAAAGAAGCAAAGCTGATGAAGCAAGGGATGTGTTAAAGAATGTTATACTTGCTCATGTTCCTGTAAGTTATACATCAGTTATGTTTTAGTTAGGCATGTCATCAATTCATAAGCCAATGGAAACTTTTATTACAAAAGTTCCATCCATGACTGTGTCCAGTAATTCATGAAAACAATAAGAACAGATAGAGATCATTTCTAATCATGAAAACCTTTCTCCTGAAAGTAGTAGCTTAATACATAACAATTTAGGGAAGCTCACAAGGAAATGCTGGTAAACTTGTAACAAACATTTTGAATGAACTAACGTGTAAGGAAAATAACATTTATTGCAAAGCCACAGTACAGCAGGTTTAAATGGCTATAGAGTAGATTTTATACCCCACTAGGACATCACACAAGCGATAAACACCCGATGACACAAAGTGCCACCATGTGGATGGATGAGGATCACCCGTGGAGAGGTCCCGGAAATCGCGTTCAGTCATTAGACCCTATTTATGGTCGGGTTATATTGCAGCCCCTGGCAAGAGGAGATGACTAGGTTAAACATTATCATTATCAAATGGCCATTTATAATAGTGTCATAAATTGTCCATCATCACATAAGAGATAATGGTTCAGGATTTCCTACACATCAATTGAGAACATGTTCATTTACTAGACCTCTTATTCTCTTTGATGAAGGATGTTGGTGTAAAGATAGTCACTTTGTTATGTCCAAAATAAATTGTACCTCTCGTGTCAACAAATGGAACAGTTTTGTGCTTCCACCCGGGGTCACGTCTGATTGTCTGCTGCTGATTTTGAAAACAGGTAGAATCGCGCATCTCTGGGCTTGGAAATAAGAAAATTAAAACTCATAAGGTTCTGTTCATTGACTTTCAGATTCATCAGTATCATGTGCCTTGCCAAATAGCACAACTATTCAGGGCTCTTCACGTATGTTGACCCTTGGTGTTCTGGATTAGTTTATTGGATAGTTATGCCAACATGTTAAACTGTCAAACATATGGGGTCTGCCTCTGTGTATTCTGCTGCTGATCTTTCCGGTCATTACAATGTTCTTCGATGCCTTTCTTCTATTTACATGGCAAAAATGAAGTATTGCCCCTTATAGCTGTAAATAAGTGTCATTACTTTTTATAAGACACTTATTATTGGTTACTATATTAGAGGTATTTGTAACATGCGTATCAGAAATCACATCTCCATCGTCTCCCTGTCTTTTTTCGCATTTCAAGATTTTCGACTTTATTACGGAATGCGTTTAACATTACATTGCATTTTTAAAAATTAACTGAAAGTTGAATGGTAGGCAAGATATTTTTCTCCCTTCTGAAACACAGATTTTGCTTGGACTCCATTCATTTGAAGTTTCGATTATCCCCATATGTTTTAATTTGTTGGCTTGGCTAAGTATTTTTCTTTTTGATTGAATGCCCTCTTTTTCATTGATATAATCATTGTTTCTGTTTTTATGACATTCAAGGGATATCCATTTTAGTGCTCTGTTACTGTGATGTCGAGTGGTTTTTGCATACATTTTGCCTTTTCATCTGTCATTACAGTATTGTTTACATACAGCAGATTGTTTATCTTATAACCTCTAACTCAAATTCCTGGTCTGACATGTGCACTCTATCCATATTAACTTTAAGGAGATTTCAGTGGCTAAGTGCTTAACTCTTTTGAGTCCCAAGGAACACATCATACGTTCATAGGTTCCTACCTAGAAGCCCAATAAACGCATGATGCGCCGATTTTATGTCACCCTTTACTACCCCATGGGCCTGCGATGCTAAACCCTCTGGGAATCAAAGAGTTAAGCCACCCACCTCACACTCTGAAGATCATGAGTGTAAAGATAGCTCTAGGTTGTCATCGGAGCTATAGAGTTTTTGTGCTTTGTGCAGTTCTCTGGATAGGAAGCTAACATTCTGCAGAGAAAGACTAAACCATATGGGATAAAACCCACTGATCAGGTTTGATTCTCTTGACTTTCAATCATTTTTTTTTTCCCACACTAGTTTGCATGTTTTAAAGAAAAAATGTCTCATGTCAAGACAAAATTATGAAGTGTATCTTTACTGCAATTTTTCTTCATACATTTTTTTTTTTGAACAGGTTGTGGATTGGAATTTTAAACCCAAAGCAATTTATTTGGCACTGATGGTTCGGAGAATTGTCCTGACGCAAGCTGGCAAAATCAGATGTGATGACAGTGACTACTATGGAAACAAGAGGCTGGAGTTGGCTGGTCAGTTGCTGGCCTTGTTGTTTGAGGACTTGTTTAAGTTGTACAACATGGATGTAAGTGGGACTTTCTTTATTTTTTATTGTTTAGTTACTGTATATAAATACCTGGAAAATACATTTTCCACTGACATATTCTGATGACACTCTACTGATTTATGGGAAGAGAAATCAAGGAAGGCAGTATGATCAGATTTGGTTGTGGCATGGAAAGGTTGGCACATATTGATACCTGCTTTTGGATATCAAAAGATACAGATCACCTTGATTGCTAAACCGAGTTAGCAAGACACTTGCTGATGATGAGCATAATCCGAACTCACAGTTGTTAAAATAATTCTAACTGTAAACCTTCATTCCATGAATACTTCAGTCCATTGTAGCTGTGATTATTGCTGAAGTATTGTCTTGTTATCACCCTGGTAGCACGGTGGTTCTGGTACACATCAAGGCAGATTTGTTAAGTCACCATCATCAGTTATGTGCCTTGTTGATTGGCATGGGTGACCATGCCCCTCCACAACCTGCATTCTTCATGTGCCGAAACCCCTCCTTGTCATGACAAAAGCCTATCAAGAATAGTTTTGCATTTTCCTCTATCTATTTTTTTTACAGATCTTTCTAGTTGTCACCTCATGTTCCACTTTCTTTCTTCTCATAACTTGATGTTTTCAGACTCCTACCTCATTTAAAACATCTAAGTTGCTCTTTTTGGCTGTCCAATGAATATAAGGGGATTCTTATTTCAAAACCAATCTCTGAGGCCTCAAGAAATTGTTAGGCTTGTGTATTAATTGTTCAGGATTCACAGCCATATGTAAAAAGTGGTTCTGTATGTATAACTCTTGAGAATACTTAGTTATGAACTGACATCACAGCGCTTTGGATATTCCCATCTGTCCTCACCTTCAGCAGCCAGCAAAGAGGTCCAACCCATTGGTGCCAGCATGTGCTAGGGAGACATTGTCTCATATGCATTATCGTTTGATTATTTGTCCTTCTGGCCATTCCTCTGAGTGTAGAATGTCCATCAGATCCCCTGTAGCTCCTAGTGTACCATTCTCTCCAGGCCACCGTGATCTGTTCCTGCCTCCACATGGTTCACCTGCTCCCAAAGGGGAACTGATCACATCTAGTTTGTCATGCATCAATTCACCACCCAGTGATGCAGAAGCAGCCACACATATGCAACAACATCATCTGCAAATGCCACTATCTATTCCACCCCAGCTGCTTCAATTTCTGCAGTCTTCCTCATATACACATTGAAGAGCACTGGTGAAATTACAGATTCCCGTGGTAGTTCAGGGGTCGTACTGCACAGCTCTGAGACCCATGTAACCAGACGAAGGACAGTCATGCATGAGAACAGGACAGATGCTATTTAGTTGACCAACCAACAACAGACCACCTTCTCTATAAGCATAGACATCATAATGTTGTATCTGATTCTGTTGTGTATAACATTGTCATATTTTTACTATTGTAGGCATTCTCTCAAGATCAGATGCTGCCACTGTTATCTCTTGTCTGTTCTGAAACCTCTCATAACTATCAACTACAAAAATGACATAATTTGCTCATGTATCTTTCTCTAGCCGGTAATTAGACCTTTTAGCTGGAGCTCTTCCCTTTCCGTAGACTGTCTCCAATTTATTGACAGTTATCTTCTCCCAGCACCTGGACAAAAAAAGCTGCCAAAGTTCTTTTTCTAACCTCCATTGACATGGATTAATTGCATAAGATATTCTTTATTTGATAAAATGCAGTTTCCTTGCCTGTTTTAGTCTGATCTTCATCTCTGATACATCTTCAATCTGATGTTATTGGTGTGCCTAGATACTTAAATTTCTGTTCTTTTCCTAAAATAAGGTTATTGACTTATACATTTAGGCACAATTATTTTCTCTGATAATACTATTGCTTCTGTCTTCTCTTAATTCAGGCTGAGGCCCATCTTTCACCTTCTGCCACTACTGTGTTCTATCAGTTCTTGTAGTTCTTTCTGACGTGTAGCAATTTCTTGTAGTTCTTTCTAACATGTAGCAATCAAGACAGTGTCATCAGCATAATTAGGTTGTTTATATTATGACCACTACGGTTCCTGACATATCCAATATAGATCTCTGTGTATTCACCATATAGTGAAAATAAATCTAGTGATAGTACACATCCTTCATACCTCCTTTTTTATGCTCTGAAATGCTCCTAAATGGATCTTAATTTTTATACTGCTGTTTGTTGCCAGTACATGCTCTTTATTATTATTATAACTAATAAATATGTCAGAGGCAAAATATACAAATTTGCGGGACATCAAGAGCCTCTCTTGGCAGTGGTGAAACCTCGCAAACTAGCTTGGTTAGGCACGTGGTGAAACATGATTCTATTGCAAAGACTGTACTTCAAGGAACATTGGGGGGGGGGGGGGTCAAAGAAGAACCTGGAATGAAAACATAAAGAAATGGACAGGACTAAGTTATCATTCACTAATTCATCAAGCAGAATACAGAGAAAGATGGCAGGTTTTGTGTACTAGTGCTTCCATTAATACACTTCCATGACCCTAATGGGTCAAGGGTTATGTTATGTTTATGTTATTATTCCTATATGACCCAGCCTAAATTAGAACCATGAAATATTTCTTTAAACGAAGATGTCCCAATGTGGGTTCTGGCACCCGGCTGTGAGGAGAACGAGAATAGATTCACTGCCTCCCCAACTAGTATGTCATAAAAAGCAATTAATCGGGAGCTTCCTTGAAAGTTGGAGTGCATCTGCTTGAGAGGTAAGAAACCAATAATCTGCACACAAATAAGCCAGATTTGTAGAAGGGATGTGCGCCCAACACTCAGGCTTTGATAAAAGATGAAAGTCCAGAGCTGCACGAACAGGTAGAAATTTACAGCCGGGGAATACAGAGACGAAGAAGAGACAGAGTTGGCTGGCATGATACTAGAGTGTCACCCATCAGGTCACTTGGTTTTTACTAATATAGGATTAGCTAGTGCTGTATACCTGATAAATAAGCCTTCAGATGTGGCCGTTGAAAAATCATGTGCTTGTTCTTTCCTTCGCATAGCTCAAGAAAGTTGCAGATAAAAACATTCCCAAAGTGCGCGCTGCTGAATTTGACATTACCAAATTTATGCGTACAGATCCAATCACAAATGGACTGGCTAATGCCATTGCTACGGTAATTATATTCTAACATTCTTTCTAAGTAGTATTATAATAATATTGTGATGACAACCTGAAACAGATTATGAAACACACTTTTTTGCTTTCAAGGAATTCACTGAAACATGTTTGTTGAGTGATATTACTTCATATATCATGGAATTTTGTCATTTCTGTTGTTATTTTGATACATCCTGCAGTACTTGGATTCATCATATGTTAGAGGGATCATGTCGTTTTTTGGTACCACACAAACAACTCCAGACCTAGTAGCATGTTTGATTCAAGACTGAAAACTGCTCTCCTGTATTCTTTTAGTGAGATGTTGTAGCAGTTATTCTTGAATGTAATAAGTAACAGATCATTTGGATGGATAAATAATGCTTTGTGGTTCTGATTAAACCATAAACTTTTTAAAAATGTGTAAAAATAAATACTGAGATTTGCTGTTATTGTAAGACAGAGAATAAATTGGATTTAAAAAAATCAACTTAACCAGTTCTCAGAAGCACAGAAAAATGACTGTTATTATTTAAGTTACAAAAATTAGACTTTCTTAGCTTTGCTAAAATATGAGGAAATACCAGAGTCAGAATGCAAGAGGAAAACAAATGCCCAAAAACAACTATTTCACACATGCATGCTTAAATATTGGTTTACTTGCTGAAGAACAATTCTGATGATAGACAGTTTTGAAATCAGAGTAACCTGATGATAGATAGTTTTGAAATCGGAGTAACCCGATGATAGACAGTTTTGAAATCAGAGTAACCTGATGATAGATAGTTTTGAAATCAGAGTAACCTGATGATAGACAGTTTTGAAATCAGAGTAACCCGATGATAGACAATTTTGAAATCAGAGTAACCCGATGATAGACAGTTTTGAAATCAGAGTAACCCGATGATAGACAATTTTGAAATCAGAGTAACCCGATGATAGACAGTTTTAAGATCAGAGTAACCTGATGATAGACAGTTTTAAAATCAGAGTAACCTGATGAAAGACAGTTTTAAGATCAGAGTAACCTGATGATAGACAGTTTTGAAATCAGAGTAACCTGATGATAGACAGTTTTGAAATCAGAGTAACCTGATGATAGACAGTTTTGAAAGAGCAACCTGATGATAGACAGTTTTGAAATCAGAGTAACCTGATGATAGACAGTTTTGAAATCAGAGTAACCTGATGATTCTGTTTGTTCAAATTCCTAAAGAAACATTTTATGTTTTTTTTTAAATTTATAGGGCAACTGGACAATCAAACGTTTTAAGATGGACAGAGGTGGTGTAACTCAAGTCCTGTCACGGCTAAGCTACATATCTGCTCTGGGGATGATGACCAGAATAAACAGCCAGGTGAGGACCATATTTCTGCAATATTCATTTATTTACAGTCAGCAGTGCCTTGAAAGAGAAAGATTCAGTTCAGTCAGGTGCCATCTTCACAGTGAAGGTTAGCTGCAATGGATCTCCAACAGGTTCTGTCTCTTGTCCTGTTTTTAAACTCTCTTGGACTGTTGTTTATCCATCTCTTGATGTCCTCCCACCTGTATTGTTGCCCACCTCTTGCTCTCTTGCCTTCAACCTTTATCTTTATTATTGTTTTTAAAAGCGTGTTATGTCTTTTAATGTGGCCAAAATATTTCCGTTTTCTCTCCTTTTTTTTTTATGTTTCAGCAATTCTCTTTTCATTTGTAGTCTTTCTAGAACTGCTGTATTGGACTGTTTTTGTTTCGATGAAAGATGAACTTTTCTTCCGTATACCCATATTTCCAGGGACCCGTTTCAATTTTCTAGTTGCTTGTTCATTGTCCAAGTTTCTGCACCATCTAGCAGGGTTGAGTTAAGCTGAGTCAAGAATTGACATCACAGCACTCGGGGCATTTCCATTTGTGCTGCCTCCTCATCTTCAGCAGCCAGCTCAGAGTTCCAATACTAATGGTACCGGTCGTAATCTGGTTATATGTCTGTCTTGCTTTTCCCTTGAGTGTAGTGAGCTGGCCAGACCTTCTGGTTTCACCCAGGTACCCCATTCTCTCCAGGCCATAATAATCTTGTTTCTATTCTGACTCCAATGCTTGTTTCCAAAGGGCCCTGACCACATCTGCCTTGTCATGTATCAATTTACCACCCAGTGATGCAGATCCAGCCAGTGTATCTGCCTGCTCATTCCCAACCACGCCAGCATGGCCTGTAGAAAAGATCCAAAGTATGCTTACTACCCATGACCTTCCCAGTGAAGCTGGCCACTCTGCTCGAAGCATCCCTCTCTTCACCTTTCTCAGCATGCTTTCAGAGTCTGTTACAATTATGACATGTGTATGCATCTTGTTCTCTAGCCACCGGAAAGCTGCAGTTACCGTCTCCACCTCCATTCTCATGCTAGACGTGGTGGTATCATACACAAGGCTGTCCTGCACTAAAGATTTTCCATTGGCTTTCACTACGAACCCCAGGCACTTCTCTTCCCTCTTAAAACTGAACTATCAGTATAATCACATTCTCTAGGCGAGATTTGTCATGAATCAACTGTTGGACTTCCACCTCCTTAGCACCCACTGGCCACTCTCTGCACTCCCGTCCCAATGTTATCATAACCCTAAACAGATCAGACTTTTCCTCTGGTACTTTGACCCACTTCTTTCCTTGCCTAATGTTCTCCAGAATGCATACTTGTCTTATTGTGTCTTCTGCTTGAGCCATCCACGACTTTCCCCTTTTCAGCCTCTGACCTTTACCTGCAGTCAAAGCTTCATACTGAGAGTGTACTTAGTCTGCAGCACCTTTAGTCTATCTGCATTAGTCAGCAATGCAAGGATGTATCGCATGCACACCATCTTTGTGTCTCTTGTACATCCCAGGATCACCCGCATAACTTCATTCTGTATGCACTCCAGTTTCTCTAGCTGACTCTTTTAGACAGTGAGTAACCCCAGTCTACAATCAGTCACTGAGATTTAAGTGCTGGTAAAGTGTAAACAGCATTCTCTGCTCCATGTCCATTGCTGCCATAAGCTTCAGTGCAATAAGACCTTTCTGAGCCCTTGTCAAAACCCCTCTATATGATCCTTGAAAGACAAAACTTCTGTCGAAGGTGATTCCTTCATACCGCAGTCTGCTGTCTCTTTTGATGTCCCTGCCATTTATTTTGAGTGTGGGAACATCAGCTCTAATAATCCTGTTGTCCAAAGAACACCACAGGACGGTTGCCTTTTCTGAGTTAATTACAGCACTCATCTCTGTACACCAGTCGATCACCTTATCTGCTGTTGACAGTAACTTGTGAGCTATTTGATTCCGATCTCTCCCCTTCCTATACAAGAGAACATCATCTGCAAATGTCAATATTCTGCCAACTCCAGGTGTTTCCAAGTCCACAATCTGGCTAATAAAAACATTGAACAGTACAGGTGAAATTGCAGATCGCTGTGGTAGTCTTAAAGCTATAATACATGGTACGGAGGTCCATGAACCCAGGTGGAGAGCTACACAGAGAATATACAGAACAGCTGCTGTCCAGTTCACCAACCAAGGACAGACTCCCTTCTCCATAAGTGCTTTCATCAAGATTGAGGATTGAATATGCATAAAATTTAATGATTCTCATCAAAGAGACATTCATCTCATCTCATTTCATCTTGATCCCCTTGTATCTTGCGGTGTTAAGGTCAAGAATAATTTATGGGAAAGTGCCTGTTTGTGCACTTCGTAAATGGAGATTCCCAGTTATTCCTTCTGTCGCTAGTTTGCATGGTCGGCCTCTTCTTCGCTTCCCGACTTTTACACACATCATTGCTTGCTGTGGTGTAGTTGTTGTTGTTTGCGTTCACCGGCTATAAACTCCAGTGGAAAGACCTGGTTGTTCATCCATTTCTGGACTTTGGCTTTGGACCTGAGTTTTGTGTGTGCATCTGTTTTACAGATCTACTTATTTGTATGCAGACTGCTGGTTCCTTGCCGCTCAGGCAGATGCACTCCGACTTCAAAGGAAGCCCCCAGTTAGTCGACTCTTACAACATGCTTTTTGGGGAGGCAGTGGGTCTATTCTTGTTTTCCCTATAATGGGGCCCCGGAACCCCACGGGGGGCTGTGGTGTTGTGTTTGCTAGCATCCACATTATATGTCCAAACCAGTTCACCTGTTGTATTCTAATGAAATCCAGAGCTGTTGCTAACCCCCATCCTCCTTCAGATTTAATCATTCCTGATCTTGTCTCTTATTATTATATTGAAAGGCCTTTGTAGGATTCTTTTTTTTTTTCAGTTGTAATTTTTCTTTTTCTGTCAGTGTCAAGGTCTGGCATTGGTAGCCCAAGGTTGGCAAGAAGATTGTTTCATAATAAGTGTTGTAATGACCCTGCTTTGCATGGTCTCCACGAGTACATTGTGGCCAGCGGAAAGTCCGTGCTACAAGTGACAGCACGAGAGAATTGGGTCTAGTCGAGGAAGCGAGGGGAAGCCCGAGCTGGACTCGTGGTCAGTTGATCATGAGAAGTCAGAGAAGACGGTAGCATTTTCTTAGAGTAGTTTTAATATTGCGCGAGGTACTAGTGTTTGAACATGTTGCGTGCGAGAGAAGTATAATTAATTGTGGAAACATGTGGAACAAATGTGACCGAATAAACTGACAGTATGTACCAAGAAGCTGAGTGGCGTTTGTGTTGTCAAGCCTAGACGTTAAAGCAGGGCAAGTTTTGTAGCAGTAAACATCCAGAGAGTGAGCCGTGGCGAAAGCCAATAGGTAGTAAGCCAAAGTGCAATCCAAGTGAGTCAAGCCAAGGTTTATTACAAGTGTTTTTATTTTTTATTTTTACTGACACATTTTCTCAGTATTGGTGCCATTTGCCCAGTAAGTTGGTTTACTCTGTTACATCTGTCATTGATCTCTTTTTTTTTATTTTGCTTGCTGATGGTATTATACTTCCTAAGTATTTAAGGTTTTTGGTTTGTTTCAGGGGGTTTTCTGTAAGCCCGATATTTATAGTTTTGTCTACTTTGGCTATGGTCATGACCACTGTTTTGTTAACATTAATTGTCATGTTATACTGTTTGCAAATGGGGTTTAAATCATTTATGTATTCTTGCAGTTCAGTTTTTGAAGCAGCAATTAGTGCTTGGTCGTCGGAAGTAGTAATTCTTTGATGAAACTGTGGCTTTGGCTCTTTTTCTCTTTGATGTATTAGTCCTTGTTGTTGTTAACGATCCAACGGCGCATGAGCTTTCACCCTTTGGTCCATTGCCATGTAGTGGAATTTGCATGTTTTCACAAGCTGTTCTTTTCCTCCATACAAGGTGTTCCACTTGTCTGGTCTCGGAGGGAGATTAGTCCTTGTCAGTTTGGTTTCTTTACTGTGGTTATCAGTGTAAGTTATGAAGAGAAGGGGAGACAAGGCCCTGCCCTACTCCAGATTTTATGGTTAATGGTTCTCAGTGTCTTTCATTCGTTCTGACAGTACATTCACAGTTGTTATACAAGCTTTTATGTATGTTTTTTTATAGATACTTGTTCACACTTTTTTAAGATTCTTCATAGTTTGTTCCTATCTACTTTGTCAAATGCCCTTTCTTTTTCACGAAGGCTAGAATGTTTGTTTAAATTCAGTTGATTTCTCTATAAGTTGTCTGAGAGCAAAGATGGCATCTGTTAAAGAACAAAGTTGTATTTCTTTTGTGTGGACATGATTGTTTTTTTTTTAAACTTACATACAGATAGATTGCTACATTATTATATATAATACATACATGTGTGTGTGTACATATATAAAATCATGTTCTGGTTGTTCATTACCTCTTGATTTAGTATTGTTCCATAATCTGGGTGTTGCATGTACAGCTGCTTTACATATCTGACTTATTTGTGTGCATACTGTTGGTTCCCTACCTCAGACAGATGCACGCAGACTTTGAAGGAAGCCCCGATTGGTCACTTCTTATGACATGCTTGTTGGAGAGGCAATGGGTCTATTCTTGTTGAAGACTGAGTGTATGTATGTCAAAATACTATATCTGTATGTGAATGTCTGTGTGTGCATGAAGTACTGCTTATGCCTGGTTCACCCTTGAGCAAGACAAACACACCCTGAAAAAACATTTGGAAACCACTGAAACAAGTTGGTGAATCTGGGTACGAACCCTGCTTCATACCTGATGGATTTGAATTGTCATGTGTACAAAATGGTATTAAGTTTATGACACTATTAGCATTTTTTAATTATTTTTTAGAACAGGAAACGATCAGAGATTGCATGCTTATAGTTTGTCAGTAGCTGATCATTCCTGATTGTTATTACTTTCAGTTTGAAAAAACTCGTAAAGTGAGTGGCCCACGTTCTCTTCAGCCATCCCAGTGGGGCTTGCTGTGCCCATCTGATACTCCTGAAGGAGAGGTGAGTTTGAATAATTATTGGATCAGTTCTTGCTAAGCAGTGGCACACTTGAACTTCAACCAAATGTTCATTGGCTTGAACTTTTATGAACTGACTGAAAGCCAGGCTGTGGCTAGAACACATTCTTATTTACCCCATGTTCACTGCTTATCTGTCTAAGCTTTCCTGACCTTGTAATTCCATAGGGTGTGGGTTAGGGGGGTTTTAAGCAGCTTTTCCTCCTACTGTAGTGTGTTTCATGTGAGTTATTCCAGATTCTACTCAGGAACGTCCTGCCCTCTAGTGTCATACCAGAAAAAAAGGCACTTTAGACTTTTCTTTCCTTGACCTCCCTTTCATTGCCAACTTTCATCTCCTGGTTCCCTCGCCAGTCTGGTGACTCAGCCATTGTTGGCAAAGCTGGTAGATTCAAATGCATCTTCCAGTTCCACACCTTGAGTGTTTGAAGAAAAGCTTCCCTATGACGGCTGAGCCATGTCTACCCCTCTGACGTCCTTATGCTGCCGTATACAAAGGTGGTCAGGCCTAAGTGGTGCATGTTGTAAAAACACACGTATCTGGCTATTCGTAGTACCCTTAACCCCAGGCACGGCTCTTTGAATGCCGTGTGCCTGGTTTGTACAAGAATGTCTATCAAGAATAGATCAGCATTGTTCGATGCTTGCACACTGGAAGACGGTTGTTCAGGTCTACACTGGCGTATTTGAGCTGAGTTTTTCAGGCTTTGCCACGCCTGTCCTCTCTCTTTGCTTATCTCTGGGTTTTACCCTCCAGGTCACCACTAATACACTGTTCCACTATGGTGGCAGCAAGCATGGCAAAGTCGCCATCACCCGGTTATGACCACATTAAGATGGCTTCTGCTTAGATGCGTTAAATGAGTTACTAAAGTAAAGATATTGGAAAAGCGGACCTCAGTGTTCTTCGGCACTATCCATCTGGCAAGTTCTGTTATCTTTTGGAAATCTGAAAGGTCGAGCCAATTATATTAAGTTTTTTTAAAATTTATAGTGCATAGAGAGGATGTTCTTTTAAAGTGGGTGACTAATCTGCTATTTTGTAAATGGCTGAGGACAGTAATATTGTATGCAATGTGAATTTTTTTTGTCAAATGAAAGTGTTTTGAATAGTTCAGATATGTAAAAATACTTAGGAAATATATAGTAGTGGTAAGATGGGATACCCACTAGTCACTTTCTAGTGGACAGACATGAGGAAGAAAATGAGCACCCCTGTGTGCCAGAAAATTAAGCATGAAACTAAGCAGCTGATACAGATTTAGAAAATTAATGTTTGGCATTAAGGTTTTTTTTTTTTTCTTTTATATGCAAAAATCTAGCATAGCAGTGCATGGCAAACTGTTACACTGTTACATGATACTTAACAGTAACTTCACCATCAGCATTCTTTGGGAAATATTAGCAGATATAAACCTCCTTTCACCTTTCTTCTTCAGGCATGTGGTCTGGTGAAAAACCTTGCTCTCATGACACACATAACTGTGGATGTGGATGAAGCCCCAATTGCCAGAATTGCCATCAGTCTTGGAGTGGAAGATATAGAAAATCTCAGTCGTGATGATGTCAGCTGTTCAAACTTTTATATAGTTTTTCTCAATGGTAGGTGACTTGTTGATTATTAAATTAATCAGAGCATATCAGCGGAAGCTGGCTTTTAGTAATTGTTAGTCAGCAGGGTGATGATTTTAATAACTGTAGTCAGACAAAATATATCACTGAAAGAAATTACACTTTTAATGATTACCATTTACTAAATTTTGTAGCAAACTTTATGTAACTTTCTACTTGTTAAATTCTTTTTTTTGTGCTTTAAACACCTTCTTACTTAATTTTTTTACATTGTATTTTCATTTGTTCTCTTGCATTTACTACTATGTAATCTCTCTGTCTCTCTCCCTCTCTCTATCCTTGTGCTCAACAGTTTACACTTTCCAATATTAAATTTTTTTTAAAGTGGTTTGCTGAGTGGCCTTGAGGTATGGCATCCACCTTGAGTGCTAAAGTCCCAGGTTCAAACCCTGGTGAAGGCAGGGTTTTTTCATGCGGACTTCTAGTAATTTCCCCTGGTCTCTGGGTAGTAAGATCAGAGGCCCATGTGTATTGTTGCGCACGTAAAAAAATAACACCTTGGCAGTTGGACATTGAAAAAGAGTAGCCTAGCAGCGCTGCCCGGGCAAAATTTTGTGTTCAGAATCTACCCAAAGTATTTTAGGATCCACGCTGACCAGAGTTTGTGCACCGCACTGAGAATCTTATGACTCACACTTAAGTTAGAAGTGAAACGGAGCACTTATGTGTTACAACCGTGTGCCTTAATGTTGATCCATTGAATAAACCAATAAGATCTGTTTTTAAGTGTCTGTATTATTTTTCGTCACTGTTTGCACATGTGATCAGCATATTTTACCATTGTTGATTGGTTTAAAATGCCCTGAAAGACTGAGTTGTAAGTCCGGTTCATTTGTGGTGGATCATTTGGGTCTTTTAAAAAGGGTTTAGTATCTTTATAGTTTATCTATCTAGCAAAGTTTATATTCAAATAGACCCTTTCTTTAACTAGCAAAGTTCCATCTTCATGGGGACACTGTTTCTGTATTTGTCAAAGCTTCATCGTCATGGGGACACTGTCTCTCCATTTAAGAGCCATCCATCCCCTCCCTAGCGAGGTATGTCATCATGGGGACACTGTCTCTCCATTTAAGAGCCATCCATCCCCTCCCTAGCGAGGTATGTCATCATGGGGACACTGTCTCTCCATTTAAGAGCCGCCATCCATCCCCTCCCTAGAGAGGTATGTCATCATGGGGACACTGTCTCTCCATTTAAGAGCCGCCATCCATCCCCTCCCTAGTGAGGTATGTCATCATGGGGACACTGTCTCTTCATTTAAGAGCCGCCATCCTTCCCCTCCCTAGCGAGGTATGTCATCATGGGGACACTGTCTCTCCATTTAAGAGCCGCCATCCATCCCCTCCCTAGCTAGGTATGTCATCATGGGGACACTGTCTCTCCATTTAAGAGCCGCCATCCTTCCCCTCCCTAGTGAGGTATGTCATCATGGGGACACTGTCTCTCCATTTAAGAGCCGCCATCCATCCCCTCCCTAGAGAGGTATGTCATCATGGGGACACTGTCTCTCCATTTAAGAGCCGCCATCCTTCCCCTACCTAGCGAGGTATGTCATCATGGGGACACTGTCTCTCCATTTAAGAGCCATCCATCCCCTCCCTAGCGAGGTATGTCATCATGGGGACACTGTCTCTCCATTTAAGAGCCATCCTTCCCCTCCCTAGCGAGGTATGTCATCATGGGGACACTGTTTCTGTATTTGTCAAAGCTTCATCACCTGACCATCAGTATCTCCAAAACTAAAACCATGGTGATCTCAAGAGAGGAGAAGAAACACCAGATCATGATGGGACAGTGTGCATTGGAGCAGGTTAACTATTTCAAATACCTTGGAGTTGTACTATACCAAAACGGAGGCATTAAGACTGAGCTGGCTACACGAAAAGCAGCTGCTGAGTGGCCTTGAGGTATGGCATCCACCTTGAGTGCTAAAGTCCCAGGTTTAAACCCTGGTGAAGGCAGGGTTTTTTCATGCGGACTTCTAGTAATTTCTCCTGGTCTCTGGGTAGTAAGATCAGAGGCCCATGTGTATTGTTGCGCACGTAAAAAAAAACACCTTGGCAGTTGGACATCGAAAAAGAGTAGCCTAGCAGCGCTGCCCGGGCAAAATTTTGTGTTCAGAATCTACCCAAAGTATTTCAGGATCCACGCTGACCAGAGTTTGTGCACCGTACTGAGAATCTAATGACTCACACTTAAGTTAGAAGTGAAACGGAGCACTTATGTGTTACAACTGTGTGCCTTAATGTTGATCCATTGAATAAACCAATAAGCTCAATCTGTTTTTAAGTGTCTGTATTCTTTTTCGTTACTGTTTGCACATGTGATCAGCATATTTTACCATTGTTGATTGGTTTAAAATGCCCTGAAAGACTGAGTTGTAAGTCCGGTTCATTTGTAGTGGATCATTTGGGTCTTTTAAAAAGGGTTTAGTATCTTTATAGTTTCTCTATCTAGCAATTTTTATTTTCAAATAGACCCTTTCTTTAACTAGCAAAGTTCCATCTTCATGGGGACATTGTTTCTGTATTTGCCAAAGCTTCATCATCATGGGGACACTGTCTCTCCATTTAAGAGCCATCCACCCCCTCCCTAGTGAAGCATGTCATCATGGGGACACTGTCTCTCCATTTAAGAGCCGCCATCCTTCCCCTCCCTAGTGAGGTATGTCTTCATGGGGACACTGTTTCTGTATTTGTCAAAGCTTCATCACCATGGAGACACTGTCTCTCTATTTAATAGCCATCCTTCCCCTCTCTAGTAAGAGATGCAACCACAGCAAACAAAAACTAGTGAGGCCTACAAACCAGAAAAACAAAAACAGTTGAGGTATGTAACCATGGTAAACAAAAACATAAAAATTTTACTGGCTTATCCTTCTTGGGGCAAGTGCCTTTGTGATTTAGTCTCCTTGGTACTTGTATAAAAAGGCTATATTTTTAAGCACTCATTATTATTGCTGTTAAATTCTTAGAGGGTGTTCATATTGATTAAAGAAATGAATTTTGGTGATACTTTCTCTGCAATACATTCCATATATAATATCTATGGTGACATCTTTTTTTTTCTATTTTTACATTCAGTAGACATTTAGGTGACACTTTAACTATAGAACATACTCATTTGTCTTATTTGTTGACACTTTCACTAAAATACATTCTGTATACAACACCTTTGGTTACATTTTCTCTACAGTATAATATTACATAAAAGCATCTTATGGTGACATTTTGTCTACAATATATTCCTTAGGAAACATCTTAGGAATGACCAACCACTACAAACAGTTGGTGAACACATTCAGACGGTTAAGACGTGCTGGTTTTATCAATGCATTTGTATCAATATTTCCCAACCATTCACATAAATGTGTCTACATAGCATCAGATGGTGGTCGTGTGTGCAGGTAATATTATCTTTGATGTGATTGAAACATGTAGTTTAAATATTAATTATTTGTTAAACTAAACAAGTACAGTTCTTATAGCAAGTCCAGTTATAAATTTGAGTATCTTTCATAAATTTATTTTAAGCTCATACAGGTCATTAGATTTTACACACGGCAGCACACTTATTATTTTTTAATTCTTTTTTTTTTTACATCGTAAACAGTATACTTTATGAGAAATTGTTCTTAAATTAATTTCTAATCACATTTTAATTTGCCTTTATTGTTGTGGGTTTGCATATTCCATACCTAGCTTTGTTTTCAAATTAGTTTCTGCATTATTTTACCTTGTTTTGTTTTTTTAAACTATCCTTCGCAAAGATTGTTTGCTTTTTGTCTGATGATTTGTTGTTTTTTTTTTTTAAATCTTCCCTAGGCCATATATTATTGTCAACCAGAAGAGACCTTTAGTTACATCAAAGCACATTGAAGACCTGAGCAGAGATTTCAGGTATGTTTAAAGAATATGTGTAAAAACTTTTAATGGTACATGTGACTGAAGCAATAGTCGGGGGACTCAAAGGCCAAAATGGTGAAAATTGGTATCCTCATGATGAAAGGCTCCAGCATAGAAAGATCTCTAAATAGTTAAATTTTGCCTACAGAGGCCTAGAACGTGGCCTGCAGATCATTATATATAACATTTTAGCACCCTCTTTCTGACTTTAAAAGAGAGCGATTTATTGCATATTTTTCATTTTCTGAAATGCAGCTTTGGCTTGACCTTTATTCTGCTTGTAATCTCTGACACACATTTTTCCATCTGATAATTTGATTGTTCCCAGTTATCTGTGAATTTATTGACTTGGTGAAGTCTTTTTCCTTCAGTCGAGATATCACAATGTATAGTTATCTTCTTCTTCTTTGATTTAACCGTTACTTCTGTTTTCTTAATATTCAATGAAAGTTCTTTCTTAACACTCTCCATCCTCACAACATCCAGCAGTTGTAAATCAGTTGCATTTTCAGCTATCAGAACTGTATCGTCTGCATAACAGAAATTCTTTATATTGTATCCTCCAACTCTTATTCCTGCTTTCTCTTTAATTTCCCCCAAAATCATTTCACTTTATAGAGAGAAAAGGTCTGGGGATAAGACACATCCTTGCTTTGTTTCTTGCTTTTTTCTGTTCAAAAGTACCCAATGTGTTTCCCACTTTCATTGCTGCTACTCTGGTTCCAGTAAATGTTTTTAATTATTCTGAGATCTTTCTTGTCTACATTGATGTCTTCCATTATTTGTATCATCTCCTCATGTTTAACTTTGTCAAATGCTTTGGTATAATCTATAAAGCACAAATATGTCCTTTTATATGTCCATTGATTTTTCTATCAGTGTTCATATTCAATCTGTGTTTCTTCATGAGATATCTTGGGAATATAATGTGGTTTCCCATTGACTTCCACACCCGCATGGGGTATTCTAACCTGCACCTTTGACAGTAATTTCTGACTGTCAAAATAAGTGGGTGCCCTTCTTTGCCCAGCTGTGGAGTGATCCACTTATTGCGGTGGATACTCGGTCCCCATGTCTGCAATAGCCACACCATGGTGTGTTTTCCACCCTCCACCACTTGGAGGTGCAGTTTGGGATTTTCCCTTTCATCAAATTTGAGACCAGGAAGGCATTTCTCAAATTCTCTAGGTACTTTTATATATATATATATATATATGCCCGGCTCGCTAGTGTAGTTGGCTAAACCTTACTTCGCGACAACCGGGTGATGAACTCCTTGTGGTCCGGGTTCACGCCTGGGGGTAGGCATAAAAGCCACATTTCTCCCAGATTTATAGTATTTATCATGGAATCAAGGCCGAAGGGTTGCGATATTCATAGTACCGAGCCAAAGGGTTAGGAACTCTGGTTTCTGGATATTTAAAAACAATAATTAACTATATATATATATATATGTATATATAATTTGCAGAAATTGATAAAGGATAGCAAAGCAGAAATATTGGCTTTATGGGGTGAAAGTGTTTTATAACAGTACTTCACACATACAATTGAGTCAATCATCAGTGCAAACTTATAATCTTATTACTTATTAAGATACACAGATGCATGCACGCACATCTACAGACACACAAAATAAATGGGCACAAAAATAGATAAATTTTCAACAAAAATATAGATTTTCTTTTTCTATATAGAAGAGGGCTGTGTCGTAAATGTAAAAGATAAAAAAGTTGCTTTGCTCTTTCTCAAGTGTTCCATTATTTCTATAGTAAGCTCATTCTTTCCCTAAACTGTTTTAAATAGCAACAGATGTTGTTCCAAATCCGCAGTATCTTTTTGCCTGCACGGTCTGGCGCAGATGTTTCTCCTGGCAAAGTTCATGGTCTTGTAAGTCACTTGAGCTCAAGCTTTATCAAGGATACTTAAGCAGTGAGGATCGTGAAGTGATTTTTTTTTTAAGAATTCTTCAAATGTTAATTGTGTCAAAAGCCATTTCAAAACATCTTTTAAATTATGTTGTATGCAGTTAAAAGTTTGCAGAACAACAAATGAGATGGTTTGGCCACCTGACAAGAATGCCCTGGTACCAACTGCCACAGAGACCATTGCTGAAGAAATATAATGAACACAGAGCAAAGGTGAAGACCACGCAAGATATGGAGCGACGTCATCAGGAACAACCTAGCAGAAATGAACACCAGCTTGTACAATATATTGAAAAAAGCGCACGAATGATCCTTACATCTCCCCCCAACACCTCGCTGAGGCAAGTGGTGGAAGAGAAGAAGAAAGTTTGCAGTGACTTGCTGGCCTATAGAGTGGATGTGAGGAATTGTATTGTGGACAGGAACTTCACAGGGATTAAAATCAAATACCTCCACCAAACCTAGAGGATGCAAAGAGATTGCCAATGAAAAGAATGAAAAGACACTGTTAACTGTTTCAGGATTTGCTGTTATAGTGAGGTGTTTAGTACAAATTCTAGATATTGTATTTCTTTACAGTACACAGAGTGCTGAAATTCAACATTGTTGGGGTGTCTTATATTTTGTAAACTAATAGAGCACAGTTAGTTTATTTTTCTGGTTTGTAATTGTCTGGGAATAATTAATTTGATAACTTGGCATTCCAGATGCTTTGAAGATTTCCTGCATGAAGGACTGGTTGAGTACTTGGATGTCAATGAAGAGAATGACTGCATGATTGCACTTTACGAGTCACATATTACAGAGTAAGTACTTGTGAGAACAGTATCAAATGCATTAATTTTTTACAAAGTAAGAATGAGGGACTTTATAGAGACTAAAAGCAACATGTCATCATTAAATGTGCAGTAAAAAATTCAGAAAATATATACTGTAAATTTTTGACACTACAAAATATCGTAAATGAATAAAATAGTAACGTAACTCAGTTGGTCACAGTTTATCTCTAATATTTATTGAGCGCAGGATTTTAATTTATGTAGGTACAATGGGTTAAATACTATAGTGAGTGTTTTTAGTCATTGGCGTGCATGCTGCAAGAATGTGACTTGAACACAAGATCCAGCTCCCTCTACCCTGCATGCAAACTTAACACTGAACACAATGTAACTTTAGTCAGAACTATTTCTATCTTGTAAACATTCTGAAATGACCTAAAGCTGCATGACACAGTTGTCTATGTAAAGTTTGCAATCGGACACATGCAACAGAAGGAAAATAGAGACTTTGATCAGTCAAAGGAACACAAATAGTAATAATTTCAGCAGTGACAGATTTTAGAAAAATTATGAATGAAAAGAGACTTATTTCTTTACCGCATTTCTTCAATTTGTGGACAAAACCTTATGACTATGGCACATTCTGAAAGAATTGGGAAAGCACTCTTGCATACCTAATTATTCACTTGAACAGTTAACATGCTGCCAGAAAAAAACAAGCAGGTAAAACTCTATATCACCCAAAAAAATACTTCAGAATGTAAGGCAAAAACCATGCCACATATGTCCAGTCTTGCAGTTACAAAGTGTAGAAAAATAAACAGGTAGCTGATGATTTGTTGCTTTAAAAAAAAGGTAACTTGAAAACCATTTTTTTTAAACACACACACTCACTCTTGTTATTTTTCAGCAAAATTTCCACCTATATTGATGCATTTGTCCCATTGTTATATCAGTCATTCCAGACCTGCTGCATAGAACTGCGTGCTCTGTTTTCTAAACCACATTTTTACTTCACATTTTCACTGAACCATGTGAGCACCCTATTGCATCTGCTACATAGTCAACTGTTGCTTGCCTGTCACCTATAATAATCTCCTTCACCCGTTGCATAAATGTGTCTGTTGCAATCTCAACTGTATAAACAGATTGGACTTTATCAATAATCATAGAACGCTCTTGAAAATTTTATTATTTTTTTTTTACCCAGCTGTACACCGCTTTACTGGATAAACATTTCTCAGCATAGAACGGAAACATTTCCTTTTTAATGTCCTTTGCAGGCAGCTCTTTTGCATTTAAAAACTGCACAACAGCACGTTCTTTGAGGGTGCACTCCTTAAGTACAGCCACCATTTTGTTTCTGTGTTGCGAATGCTCATGCAAACCTAGCACCAGCCAACAGAGGCATAAAGTTTGATGTTGCTGTCACCTAGTGACACCTTTAAAAACCACCAGCTACATTTTCCTGCCATCCCATAACCATTTGTGACATACTAATTGACTTCCCCTCGTAGATTAATTTCTGCTAAATTTCTAGTGTTTGTGTTATTCCTCATGTTCTCAGAGTACTCATTTCTTTTTCAAATTTTGTTTCCATTTTTTTTTAACATAAATTAATGACATTGTACCTTGTTAGAATCTGAAACTTTAGGTACGTGAACAAATAGTTAAATGACATTATAGCTTGTTAGAATCTGAAACTTTAGGCACGTGAACAAATAGTTAAATAACATTATAGCTTGTTAGAATCTGAAACTTTAGGTACGTGAACAAATAGTTAAATAACATTATAGCTTGTTAAAATCTGAAACTTTAGGCACGTGAACAAATAGTTAAATGACATTATAGCTTGTTAGAATCTGAAACTTTAGGCACGTGAACAAATAGTTAAATAACATTATAGCTTGTTAGAATCTGAAACTTTAGGCACGTGAACAAATAGTTAAATGACATTATAGCTTGTTAAAATCTGAAACTTTAGGCACATGAACAAATAGTTAAATAACATTATAGCTTGTTAGAATCTGAAACTTTAGGTATGTGAACAATGAAAATTAATTTTATTTTGCATTTGTCTTTTCCAGCGATACAACACATCTTGAAATTGAACCATTTACAATTCTTGGTGTCTGTGCTGGTCTGATTCCTTACCCTCATCACAATCAGTCACCAAGAAACACATACCAGTGTGCAATGGGCAAGCAAGCCATGGGTAAGTCAGCACATTGTATAGAGACATTACTGACACAATATGTTAAGAATATATGCTTGTTAACTTTATTGGAACATATCTATTTTTAACATAAACTGCTATTAGTATTTCTTAACCCTCTTAGCACGGACGGGCCGATTATCGGGCGGCGGATGTCTGGCCAAAAACACGGAACGGCCGATCATCGGCCCGATCGTGTTTCGCCTCGACCCGCTAAGAAATCTCCTATTTTGAAACACTGAAAGTGATTCATTTATATTAACTGCGGTATTAGCTTTACACATGGCGACTTTCGAGTGTTTGGTATCGAAGTGAAAATTGTTGTTGAATTTTTTAGATAGTGACCTGAACCGCTAAAAAAGTATGTCTGACGTCGTTGTTTCTGCCCCTAAACTTGATGTTGATAAAAACATTTGAATCAAGTGATGACACTAATTATGTTGATACTGATGCAGGATTTAGTGTTAGTAGTAATAGTGGGAATCAGATGGGGACGCTGTTGTGTTCAGTCACAGCCCAACCATGGCTCAGGGGTATATCCACCCGAAGGTGTTGACACTCCGGCACATCCATTTTCTTGTGCTGACTGATGGTGAAAAAACAATGTCACCTAAAGATATTATTGCTGTTTCATATATATATATATATGTTTTTGACTATTGAATTGCTTAAAACATTTGCAAAAAGGCCAAAGATCAATAAAAAGATTTTAAATAAAAAAAATTGTTGTTTTTAGTTTTATGTTTCAAGCATTGAAGTTGAAAATTCAAATTCAAATTTTCTATTTTTAGATATGCAAATGAGATAATTTGCATATACATCAATTAATTTTTACGATATTGTGAAAATCATGAACTTCAATCTATATCCTTCAAATAGATATATTATGTCATGGGGGCCAGAATAACAGAAATCTGTCAAAAAAATTAAATAAAGTAATAACCAAATTCACTGAAAAAATGCTCCGTGTTTTTGGCTAGACCTCTGAAAAACTTCCCGTGCTAAAAGGGTTAATAGTGGAATTTCTTTCTGCTTTGTGCACTTCTGTCCATGATATAATAATTGTGTATCCCACTACACACTAATTCATCTCCATCTTCTGTCTACCTCTCCTATAGTCTCTATCTGATTGACCTCCCTCTCTCTATCGAGAAGCTGTGTCCATTACACACAAAATTGTGTTATGGTTGGGGGAGGGATTAGCTTTTCAGCATCCAGCTTTTCTTCTTGTGATGTTTTCTTTCTAAATTAGTTTTTTAATATTTTTATTTCGATCTGTTCATTTGTTAGCGTTGCTTGTATTGTTTTCCTCTCCGTTTTTCACTGCCTTCCTCTCTTTTTGTGTCTACCTGCCTGTCCCTCTTTAATCACTGTCTCTCCCCCTCTGTCTTCACACTGTCTCTCCCACTCTACCTCAGCATCTCTCTCTCCCTCTCTCTCTCTCACTCTCTCTCCTTCAGGAACCAGGTCTAGAACAGACAGGATTTCAGTTTGCTCCCCTCTGCCACCAAGTCTTCAAAAAGAAATGTAAAAACACTATATCTGTGCTCTATTCCCACATGTATGTGCACAAATAAAGTACTGTATGTGCTAGGTAAACCCTTGAACAAGGCAAAAATACCTGCCTCTGTATTACCCTACACAACCTTGAAAAAAATTATAATACCTTGAAAAGCCTTGAAATTGATTGTTAAATTTGGCAATTAACACTGTGTTCTTTTCATGTGACTTCCCTGCTGCAGTGTTTATGATTGAAGTACTTTTGTTTTCAAGATAAGATACAGATTATGGGAAAGTATTCTTAATGGCCAGACCTTCTAGAATTTCATTTTATTTTTTTAATTAGCAAATCAAAATATGAAGCATTATGCCAGTTGTCTCCTCTCATCTTAAATACAACCATGTACTAATACTCTGATTTAAGCTAAAGTGATACTTTGCTACTACATTGCATAGTATGTCCTCTTCATTGACATTTCAAAAGGAATTTATAATAATTTAGTTTTAAATTCAGAACTTGTTTTATTTAATGTATATGCAGCCAATAATGTTTTAGTTTATCCTGAACTTTATCATCTAATATTTCTCCAACTTTTGAATCTGGAATGCCAAAATTGGAAGCAGCATGTAACTATAGATAACATTCTGTCGTCAGGTACCATTGGTTACAACCAAAGAAACCGGATTGACACTCTGCTGTACTTACTTGCATATCCACATGCACCTTTAGTCAAGTCAAAGGTATAGTTTTTGTTGTTGTTGTTGCTCATAATGTAGCGATGAAAAGTGTGTACACTCACATGCGGCACAGGCTGAATAGTATTTATACTTTCTTCTGTACTTATAATTATTAAATGGCTAAAAACAGAACGGGGAAGCAGAAAAACAGGCACAATACAACGTTTCGGCCAGTGGTCTTTCTTGAAAAGTAATGAACTATGCAGCAGTAACAAAGACGAGAGTATTCAGATTTCTAAGGGGTGACGTGAGCAACTTTTTAAAAATGTGTTGTGGAGTGAATAAAATGAAATAAAATAAACAAAGACTCAAAAAATAGACTCAAAGAATAAAAAGTACTATTGTTAATATATAATATAATAGTAGGAATAAATTATAGTAATAACAAATGTTAATGATACATAAATGGTACTGATAAGAGTTTGAATAAAGTAATAATTTGAAATAAAATAAAATAATTGAAATTGAAAATATGATAATAATAAAACTGTTTAGATGAAGGTGTGTTGGATTTTGATGCCGCCTGGACTAAAAACGCCAAGGCTGTGGATGTGGTATAATTGCCAGAGCAAAGTTTTAATGCTGTTACAGATGTATCATCTTTACCTGTGTGGCCAGAGCTGTTAAAATGGATTGCGATTGGTTTAAGCATCTTCTTATCAATATTGGAGAGGTATTCCCAGAAACGATCAGCTAGCTTCCTGCCAGTTTCCCCAATGTATGCCTTCTTGCATCTTTTGCAGACTATGGAATAAATTAGGTTGCGGTTTTCATAAGTAAAAGGTTCCCTAATTTGGAAAGAACCATTAGAGAAACTGGCCGATGTGGTCTGGACAAGAAAAGGACATGTCTTGCATGAAGTACAGGAACATTCAGTAGTCCTACTGGAATATTTAGTAGTCCCAAATGGAGGTAATGTGTGGATCGGTGGGAGTCGGTTTCTGAAAAGTATGTCTTTAAGGTGGCGGTCTCGTCTATAAACCAATCTAGGTTTCTCACTAAAGATAATCTTGGTGTCCGTATCAGAGCGGAGAATGTCCAAATGACGAAAGAATACTTTGGAAGCAACCACATTGTTAGGATGAAAAGTTAAATCAATTTTGGTCCGTCGCTGGTGGAATTACGTTTGGTGGTGAAAGCATCTCTCCTGGTGATAGGTTAAAACTCAGAGCCTCTTATAGAATGTGTTCCAGATAGAAACTAGCACGGAAGAAATCAAGAAGTTTAATTGATTTATCAAAGAAGTCAGAATCATCAGACCACAACCTTCGCAATCGGAGGAGCTGTGAGTACGAAATATAAGTTTTACAAGTTAGTGGGTGAGACGACACATGGAGGAGATAACTGAGAATCTGTAGGATTGTAGTAGGCTGTGTTCTTCAAAGACCTGAAATCGATACTGACCAATGAATTGGTTGACAAAGTATTTCCCAATATTCACACCAATTATAAGAATCACGATTGGCTGAGTGAACAAGCTATTCTTGCTGCCAGGATCAAAGACGTCTACAAACTTAACAGTATTATTCAGTTTAAAATGCAAAGTAAGGCCATCACATACAAGTCCGTCCACATGTTGTGGAAACCGATAAAGCAGTTAATTCATCATCATCATGTAGCAGGTCCTTTGCAGAACATCGCTGTCATTGTGGTCTGCCTGAAAGAAATAGCCAATCTTCCTTGATGTTCAGATCTTTCAAGATGTCAATATTTCTCCTCTTCTTTGTCCAAGATATTCTGAGAATCTTTCTATAGCATTTCAGCTTCAAAAGCCCCTATTCTCTTTCTTAAAGACTGGGAGATAGTCCACGACTCACATCTGTATGTTGCTACAGGGAAGATGCATGCTCTTGAAATTCTAGTTTTGATTTCCTTGATGGTGCTTAACCATAGATTTTTAATGCTGTAGCTAGTTATCCAATAGAATTTTGAATTCACTCGATCTACCAGGGATACCACTGCACTTACTGCAATTGAATGATCGGTGTGCCAATTATCATGCTGCAAAATATCAGCCAGCCAAAGGTTTGCAGTGGCACGAGGCTTGCACTTAAACACTTACTGAGCAACATTGTAGAAGCTACAGTCTTGACAGGACCTTTCATTTCTCGCATTCCATTGATTCCAATTCCCAGTTCGACTCACCAAAGCTCAGAGCCAATCTTTAGAATTGAGGGGTGTAGATGTAGACACGGATTGTTTCTCACATGGACAGTTATATGTTACATGTTCTAGAGTCGACAAACCAGACAATCTTTATGTCTACACAGACAATGGAACAACAAAGAATACCCGCTGGAATTATAACATTAGACACATGCGCTTATCTTTTGTTTTTCTATTTTACAAGTCTGGGCCGCAGGAACATGTGGCCGGGTACAGCTAGTTATTAGGTAAAGTAAAATAATTGTTTCCTTCAGCTTATAAATTTTGCTGTATATGCTAGTGACAGTATTAAGATATCATCAGCTGAGTGTTTCATTTTTTTTATTTCATCTAAATCTAATAGACAATAGAACTCATCAACTTTGACAAGTTGCCAGCAGGCCAAAATGCAACAGTTGCTGTCATGAGTTACAGTGGTTACGATATTGAAGATGCATTGGTACTGAATAAAGCTTCACTGGACAGAGGTAGGCCACATGCTAACAGGGATAACATTTTTGTAAACTGATGACTAATTTAAATCCTTGATAATCTGATGAGATTACGCTGCATGGAAACAATAAAATTATTTCATTCCTTGATGCCTAGTCAGTTACAAAATTTTTTTCTCCTAAAGACCAAGCCAGCTGTTTACTTTATCCTCTGAGTCTCTGAATAATGTTTATTGTATTCCGTGAGAGCTATTTATTTGCCTTGGAGTTGAGAGAATGTGGCCTTAAATACAAAGTATGTTTAATGCTCTTTATGCCCCTTTGGAGTATATACCTCAGCAAACTGATGCCATGATATCCTATCTGTTTTATCTCTGGTAGTCCACTTTATGTCCTCCTTAAATTATTTTCCTCTCTGTTATCGTCATATACCTGTGTTATTAGATCTCCCTCTACTTATTTTCCCATGGAGCATTCCAGAAAAGTCACTTTCTTCATTTACTATATACATATTTTCTTGGTGTGTTTGTCCTGTTCTGCATTAGCATTTTTTTAAACTCCTGATTCACAATTAATTTATATTTTTGTCCTATCTTGCTTCCAAATTGCTCTTAGAAATGTGTGTGCTGTCAGTCATGTTTATTTTTTAACAAGTTAACTTTGTTTTTATTGTGGGATTAAATGTCAAACAAAGCAAATAATACTTCATTCACAATTTTGTTAATTTTGTAATGGTTACAGAGAAAGGAGAAAGAAATTGCTTTTCGTTCTTTTTTTTAAATTTTTTTTTAAAATTCTTATGCTTGTTTCAATTGTATTTTTATGTTGACTTCATGTTGTGCTTGAATGTTTATGCTAGGATTTGGACGATGTCTGGTATACAGAAAGCAGACATGCTCCTGAAGCGCTATGCCAATCAAACATTTGACAGAATTATGGGGCCAAAAGTAGATAGGGACACTTACAAACCTGTCTGGAAACATGAGCCTCTGGAAACTGATGGCATTGCTGCTCCTGGTAAGATTTTATGTGCAGCTTGTGCATCTTGGTTGAATTTATTTTATCAAACACATTCGACAGTAATTTATTGCAAGTGCTGTATGTTGTTGAGTGTGCCACAGAATTGCTTTTTGCCTGAGGTTTTGTGTATGAAGTATAAAAGTATAGATTATTTACAGTTGATACTGCTTTGTTTTAAGCTTGAACCGACAAATATTGTGCAGGTGATTGCATGATAATACCTGATTTTTATAAGAAATAAGTACGAGGGTGCAACAACTCTCCTGTAATCATGCAGTCTGACCTGAAACATTGACATGATAAGGCAGACGTGGTTAGTGCCTTGTGGGAGATTGTGTACAGTTCGGAGCAACAGATAGATCACCACAGTCTGGTGAGATTGATGAAGGGGGGAGTGACGAGAGGTTCTGGCAGATGCTCGAGGCTCAGAGGAAAGGCAAGAGGGACAATCAATCAGAATGCTACTGGCACCATTAGTATCGGAACTCTTTGCTGGCTGCTGAAGATGATGATGGAGCGCTTATGGGAATGCCCCGAGTGCTGTGATGTTGGTTCTTGAAACAAATCAAATCAAACATTGACACTACATCAACCCAGCAAGCTTGAACAGGAACAAACACTGATAAAACACTGAACACTAAAGATTCAGTTTATCTCCAGTGATGTTCTCTTAATCAAACAGTGCGCCAGCGGTATATCATCTAGCTACTTAGCTATGTTGACACACATCTATTACTTACATTGACTACACAGGATTCTCACTGTCTGTACATCTCACACTTGCACTTCATGGCTCCCAAATCCGCATTCACAAACTGCACAGCACAACTGACACTCTTGCCTCCATTCCATGTTGTCATGGATTGATTAGCCAGGTTTCTTCGGGCCAGTGTGTTGAAGACATTCACTGGTTCTTCTCAGGATACATTCAGCACTCCAACTGCCACAAGACCAGATAAAAAACAAGACTAGAATATCATATTTTCTGAAGGCTTAAATGGCCTCTTCCTTTCCTTGTGAACTTTCAGTCTGTTCTCAAACATTTATGTTTTCTCCAATTGACATGTTTTTGGCCAAGCTGCACAAAGTTTACATTTGCCTCAATTTGACACTCAATTGGTTCATGCATGTGTTATCCTAAGACCACACATTCAGAATAGTTAAAGATAGTTAGATACAAAGGAGACTTAACAAAATTACCTATTTCTCATCATAGTCTGCCTTTCTTTCACCACATGTGGTCCACTAATCCACAAGACTAGATACTCCCCAGATAGAAATTTTGGGTGTGGCCAGTAACCAAGTATGCACCACTGACAGCACGTCATTGTCATCTGCAAATCTCTGACCCCGCAAATGTTCTTTCAAAGAGCCGAACAAATAAAAGTCTGTTGGTGCCAAGTCTGGGCTCAGGGTTTTGTAATGAACCTTAAAACCTTCAGGAACTGCAAGATCCCTCTCAAGACCTTATGAAAACTGGCAGGAATCCTTGAATTTTACTTACCAACCCTTAAACTTTACACACATTGACATGGATAACAAAAGGAGTATTTCATGTGATTTTCGGCAGTCTGGATTTTTACCTTTTTGCAGTTACAGTTTTTGAGGTCACGCCAGCCGTTTAAGTTCAAACTGTGCAGGCAAGATTGTTGGCTAAGGTAGTTTTAAATGTGCGTGGACAAGCGATATGCAGTTCACGGTCTCACTGTTTGCTTTGCTGGACGATGCCGAGTGAGCTATCTTCACATGACATCTCTTGCCCCTTTCCCTCCCTCTCTCTTCCTACCTTTTCTTGGCATAGCAAGGTCAGTTGGTACCTATGGAGAATATAACACCTACTCCTCACCCATTCATACACATTAAATATATGTATAATTTTTAACCACATTTGCCCCCCCCCCCCCCCCCCTTCCCCCAACAATAATGACACTGGGGTACCCACACACAGATGATGATGATACCCGGAGGGTGGCCTGCATCCCCTTCCTGCTGCCTTCTTCCCCCTGTATATCTCCTTGACTTTCTTTCACCTCCTATCTCAGTGCCGACTTTCTTTTCTTAATCTTGATTTTTCTGCCACTCTCCTCTCCTCTGTCTTTACTATTTCCCTCTTTGTCTTCTACTTCCACCCCACCAACAAACCCCCCCCCCTCCTTTCCCCCTTTCCATTCTCCTTTCTGTAATGGTAGCACCAGAAATAAAACGGGTCCACTGATACATGACCTATTGTCCTGGCGGAATAACTCATCTGTTGCCATCCCCCCTCTCTGTATGGCTTTCTGCCCCTGTCTCCTTCAGTTACCAGATCTAGAGCAGACAGAAATTCTGTTTGATCCTCTGCCACCAGGTGTAGAAATGATGCAAAAACACTATCTTTGCTCGTATGCCCACATGTGTTCGTGTAAATAAAATATCACAGCTGTATGTGGGTGGGCGTTGTCATGCAGTAACAAATCTCCTCTTGAGAAAGGACCCCGGCATTTCGATTTGATCGCTGGCTTCAACTTTTTTGTCTAATTATATTGCTGTAATGAGCACTAGTCACAGTTTCGTGCCTTTCCTGGAAATGCGTCACTGACATCCCAAAAGATTGTTAGCATGACCTTCCCAGCTGAAGCCTGTGCCTTGAATTTTTGTGTGTGGTGGTGACGCCCGGTTCTTTCACTGCATTGATTGTCTCGTACTCTCTAGTTTGTAATAGTGAACCTAGGACTCATCACTTGTGACAATTCTTCTTCTTCTTCGTGTTCACCAGCAGTAATTGCGGGTTAAAAGTTCTGGTTGTTCGTCAGTTTGTAAATTTAGTCTTGTTCCAGAACTTGAGTGTTGCTTGCACATGTGTTTTACAGATCTGAATTATTTATATGCAGACTGTTGTTTCCTTGCCTCTCAGGCTGATGCACTCTGACTTTAAAAAAAGCTCTCAGTTAGTCGACTGATGACATGCTTGGAAGGCAGTGGGTCTGTTCTTGTTTTCCTCACATTGGGGCCCCAGAACCCACATGGGAATGTCACAGTTTAATGGGGGGAAAACATCTCCTTTGCGAGCATGGCAATCCATATATATGCTTCTGACAAATCATCTGCCTAGTGTGCTTCTGTTCATCAAACAGCTACCTTGAAACCTATCTGCTACACACATTTACTTATACACACAGTCATTGTCAACAATTGTGCATGCAGCAATGTGATTCTTGTGGAATTCTACAGAAATTTTCATTAATACCGACTTATCTGGTGTGGTGAATTCACTACTCTTCTCTGCTGTTTCACTGTCTCATTTGTCACACTAAAAGGTCTCAGGCTCCACTTTTTTATCACTGACGTTATCCCCCACTTTTTAAAACCTTTCTACCCATTTATAGACTTTCCTATGACACAAACAACTGTCTCCTTATTGAACCTCTTACTTCGTAAGATTTCAGATGGTTTATTATTTTATCTGTTTACACATTCTTCATTTATAATGAATTTCAAGGTGTCCGAATTGAGAATCGTCAAGTAATGGTCAACAAAGAGATGCCCACCATCACCTCGCCATCTCTACAACCAGCACTCGGACAGGTGAAACAAACTGAATATAAGGAAACACCCATTACGTGAGTTCATCTACATTTCTTATTTGTAGTAGTATTTTATCATTGTTTACAGTTTCCAGGTGTTATTATTTTGCAGTTTCTGACATCTAATATATATTTAATCTGAGGGACAAGTCACTGACGTCTCAAAATGTGATGAAACATTTCAAACATTTGTTGGTAATGGGTAACATAAACATTAGCTTTGTTATTCACATACACCAGATGATCATTGTAGCATGTGTAGGCGCATGCACAAATAATTTCAAACACAGTGCACATGTTTTTGGATATGTTTAGGTACGGAATACTGCACCACCAAAGAACATTGTGGTGGAATGGGGAGGGGGAGGAGGATGAGCAGAGAGATGGACTGGCTGGTTCTACACCACTTGGTGGTGGATTGGATTTATGACAAGCTAGTCGTTGTGAGGACCCTCTGGGAGAGAGTGAACAGTGTGGAAACGCAAATAGATCAAGGTCTGAGGAGAATGGAGCTGCAAAGAGTTACAAGGGAATCTGGCCGTCGCTCAACACTCAATGGAAGGGCGAGACGGATATACAATCAAACAGTTACTGGTGCCACTTAAATTTGAACTCTTCGTTTGCTGCTGAAGATGGGGGCAAAGCGCTTATGAGGGTGTCCCGAGGGCTGTGACGTAGATTCTTAGTTCAACATTCAACACTGTTATGTAATAACTAGTATGACTTAAATAACTAAAGAAACTTCTTCTTGCATTCTGTTTCATATGCTCAGATGAGACAATCGGGTGGGTTGTCTCTATGAATTAGCGTGTCAGCAGCAGCTCCTTCATGGTTCCCCTCAGCTTGCTCTACACACTTTGCTCTTGAAGCCAGATTACTTTACAAAGTTGTAGGTAGAGTGGGCAGGTCTGCAGAATGTGCTTAGATGTTTGTGATCCGGTCTGACAGGCACACTGTGGGGACGTACAGTCTTTATTTTATGCATGTGGTAGTTGAGCCTGCAATGTCCTGTTCATAGATGGAAAATTGTTGTATGTTGCTTTCTGTTGAGTCTGCTGATGGGGTCTTGTGGATGTTTACTGTTGCTTTATTTTCTCCACAATTCCTTATGTTTTCCCTTGATAAATGTTTTGATTTCTGGTAATGACAATCAATGGATGTGTTGTTTCTCCATTTTTTTCTTTTTCCCATTTTTTGCAAGTCTGTCTGCTAACTCATTTCCTGGTATGCCGCAGTGAGCAGAGATCCACTGGAGAACAACAGTTTGATTGTTTTCTGAGATCCTGTTTAGCTGACAGGTCAGTACTTTCTCCATGTTGTCTCATGGATCCCTCTGAGTTGCCTAGAGAACTGACATGCAGTCACAAAGGAAAACAATTTTGCTGTTTTTAATTTGTCTTACCTCAAGCACTTTGGTTGCATCCATTATTGCTTGCTGCTTTGCTCTGAGGTTTGTTGAGTCTTCCTGAGGCGCATGATATTTCCACTGTGGTCCTATCTTGCAGCATGATGACTGATCGAGCTCCTCCATTTTTTCTGCTCTTTTCAATGATTCATTGGTGTAAATATGTGTCCATTCGCGTTTTGGCTAAGGGTTGTAGACATGTTCAACGGTCTTTGAATTTAGTACTAGGTCACATTTTTCAGCCTGGGATTGTTGTTGTGATTGTATAGTTAGGTTGTAGCTCTGTGCTGTATGCCTGGATCCATTCCCATGTTGCAAGGTCTTTAGAAAGAATGTAGCTGTTTTTAATGTAGTGGAGTCTTGATAGATGGTGGAAGCTTTGTCTTTTCAGTCGGTTTTTAGTTAAGATGTTTGCTATTCTGTACATGGGGTTGTTATTCATGCGTTTAAATTTTTCTGCTGGGGTAAGCATCTTTTCTTCCCTTCGCTGGCTCAAGTTCTGGAGGCCAGAAGTTGCCTTCAGCTCATGGATTGATGTGCTTCTCATACCTCCAATGATGATTCTGAGACCAGTGTTCTGTATTTTGTCTAGTCTGAATAGATTTGATTTGGCTGCAGTGGAGTTTGCTCCCATACCATACTTCAGTTTTGGTTGTACGTATCCTGTGTATACTTGTACTGATTTGGCATCTGCACTCCAGCTTGTTCCAATAAGTTTCTTCAAAAGTCTGAGCCGCAGGGTAGCTTTCCTTTGGGTGTCTTCAGTGTGGGGGCCCCAGGTTAGTCTTTTGTCAAATTTTACTCCTAAATATGTGGGGTTATCCTCTTTTGGAAAGATGTCATCTAGGTACAGATCAGCTTGTTCTAGCTTTGTGGAAAGACAGAAGAAAGTCAACACGGTTTTGGTCTGGTTTATTGTGACTCCCCAAGAGTCTGTCCATTTCTTAACTGTATTTATAGCTTCCTGCATTCTTGTTTTAGTTGTTTCTATATGTTCAGCTTGAGTCCATATGGCCAGGTCATCTGCATGTAGGGCTTGAACTGTTTTGGGAGGTCATTGATGAAACAATAAACAGGGTAGGAGAAATAACACCTCCCTAGGGGACACCAAAAAACCTGACAAACCTGCTTTTGTGCTCTTCCAGACAGACTCTTGCGCAGCATCTGTAAAGAATGTCTCTAATCCAGGCAAACATATGCCCTTTTATTCCACTGTTTACTAGTTTTCGCAAGAGTCCTGTCTTCCAGACCTTAGAAAAGGCTTTAGTCAGTTCAAAGAAAGTAGCTAACAGTTTGTATTTTTTCTGGATAGTATCTTCAATTTCCTATGCGAGATAAGAGGTTTGTTCATAAGTACTTCTGTATTTCCTGAAGCCTGATTGGCTGTCAACCAGTATCTTGTTTTTTTCCCCAGGAGATTAAGTAACTTGTTGTTCACTATCCCTTCCATAGTCTTTCCAAAGCAGCTTAGGGCGGTAACTAATTTGTTTTCTTTGGGCTTTCCTTTCTTGGCTAGGGAAACTATTTCTGCCTACTTCCATTCCTTTGGAAGTAGTCCCTTGGTCCAGGATTGATTGATAAGGTCTAAGAGTTGTTCCCTACCAGCTGGTCCCAAGGAAACAATTGGTCAGCTAGGGTTTTTAAAATCGTGACTCAGCACCCCCAACCTAGACCCGAGCGAAATCCACCTTTGGTTACCTCAGAATTCACCTTAGCTGCAAAGTCTTTGCTGAAGAAAAAACATTGAACATGAGGTACATATATGACTTAGACATTGGCTGCTCTGTCTTTGCTAAAGAAAAACATTGAACATGAGGTACATATATGACTTAGACATTGGCTGTTCTGTCTTTGCCGAAGAAAAAACATTGAACATGAGGTACATATATGACTTAGACATTGGCTGCTCTGTCTTTGCTAAAGAAAAAAATACCTATTGAACATGAGGTAGAAATTTGGCTTAGGCATTAATTGCAAAGTCTTTGTTGGAGAATAAAAACATTGTACTTGAGGTAAAAATCTGGCTTAGACAGAGGGTTAAAAATTGCAGGTATTAGGGACCTAGTCGGCGCCTGTGGCTTAGGCATCGCAAACGCACTTCATAATGCTCGCGTGCCGGGTTCGTCTTAGCTGGGGGCCTTGCATTGGAATCAAGAGCCCACTGTCCAGAAAGCAATGGCAAACTACTGGATGTAAATTTGCCTAGAAAAACCACAACAGCCAAAAACTGCTAGGGTTGATTCTACAATGTCTTGTAAAGGATACATAACTAACTTTTAACATTAGGGACCTAAGAAAATAAAGGAATTCTATATTAATGTTAATTAAGATTAGTTTTTTCTTATCATAATGATGTGTTGATTGACGCTAATTTCCAAATATACTACCTGCCATAAAGAATGTCTGTGCAATGTTGTTTCTTCTAGATACAAAGGATCAGAACCAGTGTACATAGAGAGGGTGCTGGTAACTCAAAATCAGGAAGAGTCATTGTTGATCAAGTTGTTGTTAAGACAGACTCGGAGGCCAGAAGTTGGTGATAAGTTTAGCAGTCGCCATGGACAAAAGGGGTAAGTGGCATTTGTCAATTCTGTCCTTATGTAAGCATGAGCTGAACTAAAAGAAAAAGACAGGAGGACACAAATTTGAGATATACAAATTCCTCACGACAGTATAAAAGATGGCTGTCATGGGTCTGTTATCTCTGATTTATGTTTAGAAGTGCACAGTGGTCACTGGCTTAACTAGGAGCACAGCAGCAACACTTGATAAATTGAAGCAATGCAACATATTACTCTTACACATTCACAAGCTCTGTTTCCCACAGACACGATATTGCACTCGAGCATTTTTTATTTTCTTGAGCCTAGCAAGTTCACAGCGTCTGACACATAGAAAGATACCTCAGATCTTATAAGAACGGTTTTTTGGTCAACATTGTGCTACCAGTGACAAACATGGACCCTTACTACAACTAATGAGTGGAAGATCATAACAACAGAGCTATGTTCTAGGAGAGCTGCCGGTATGAAAAGAAGAGATAAAATAAAGAATGAAGAAATTAGAAGAAGACTTTTACAGATAATAAAGAGTATTGATGCAAAAACATAGACATTTCATGAACTAATATAAATAAGCGCTCTGTATACCCATAGTCTACAAGACTGAAGCCAGTCATACAATTTATTAAATAACAACAAATGAGATCGTTTGGCCCCTGGCGAGAATGCTGTGGCATCAACTGCCACAGAGAGCCATGCTGAAGAAATATAAGAACACAGAGTGAGGGGAAGACCACGCAAGAGATGGAGCGACATCATCAAGAGCAACCTAACAAAAATGAACACCAACTTGTACAATGAATTGGAAGAAGCACACAAGCGATCCTTACATCTCCCCCCACCACCTCGCTGAGGTAAATGGTGAAAAAGAAAAAGAAAGTTCCTGCATGCTTTATTTATGAGCATACTGCAAAATTCTTAGAATTTGGCCAGAAGTGCCTGAGGCATGATGCTGTTTCTGAACCAGTTTTCTTCAGTGTTCAGATCCTGTAGTATGACTGTTCTTCTTTGTTAGCTGTATTCTAAAATATATTCCAAAGCCGACTCCCAATAGATATTGTATTCAGAGTTACAGGAAAAACATAGAATCAACATACTAGATCGAAAAGGGGGACAAATTCCTCCTAACAATAGATTAAATGTTGGAAATACATTTTAGAACATGAGTACGAAGAAATAGTTGGTGAGTTGACTTTGCAGAAGTGGGTTACGATAAGAGCAAGCATCGTTATGCAATTTCAAGTTACCAGGTGTCTGTCCATATTTTCAGCTATGCGTTTTTTTTTTTAATAACCAATAGTCTAGAAAAGCAAAGTGTTGAAAATGAAAAATTACCAAATCTTACTTTAGCCATTAGAAAAATATCATTTCGTTAAACATTTATATTGTCATAACTGTGTCCTAGCTCTTATTCTCTTGATGATTTATTGTAGGTAATACTCATGCCTTCATAGAGCTATAACCAACACAATATCAGCATGAAGTTGCTTCTGCTCCAGCAACAACTTTGGCACACATTTTGCTGACACTGTCCACAAGGCTGGATTCTTCATCAAAGTAGAATGTACTGAACCACTATTTTCTCCACCTCGTATGTAAGTTATCAGATAGTGACGTGACACTTCTGCCTGACCAGAGTCTGTTCTTGGTCTGGAACCTTGTCATTTCACTTTGCTGTGATCCTAATGGAGTTGATTCTGTCTCCACCACAATTTTGGCACACTTTAAAAAAATGCTAAGGGATGACAACCACTTTGTATCAGGATAATGACAGCACCTTATTTACTCATTATGCACAAGTCATGTATTTTACAAATCTGTCACCTGATGAGATGATCTGGTAGCAGTCTTATTACATAAGCTTAGATAATGTGTCTCAGTCGTGTCTGTAACAACTCCACAGTATAGCCATCCCCGCAGTGTATGCGAAGGCTCTTTCATACTCAGAAAACTTTACCTGTAAAACCAGCTGACCCATGCAAGGTGCTTGCCAGCTTTTGTGTGTCTCAGTCTGGACACCCTCATATGGACACTGTATGAATCCCATTGATCCACTTTACATTCAGGCAACTGATTTGTGCTGGATTGCTGTATTCCAGTACAGAAATGCTTCACCAGATGCAGTACAGTATCATTTTCAAAACATAATGAGGGTTTAAAATGTCTGGGTAAAGAGGAGTAGGCAGAGTATTTGCTTTTTTTCAAACTCTAGATTTTTTTTGTGTGATGTTTTAATTTTGCAAAATAATACATTTGTTTTATTTTCTTTTGTAGTGTGTGTGGTTTAATAGTTCCTCAGGAGGATATGCCATTTACTGACCTCGTAAGTATTCAGTCACCATATTTTCTTAATGCTGTCCACAAGTCATTCTGTACTATATTTATATGAGAACTTGTCACTTGCAACAACAAAAAACTATGTGGATTATGTTTCTATTATGTTTAATATGACAAAACATAACAAATTCATTATGCTTCCTCTGGTGAGAAATTTAAAAAAAAAAAAATTCAGAACTAACCAAGCTGGTTATACAAGGGGTTCAGAAAGGAGGAGAGCAGAGTTAGCTCACTAGGCACTGTCCAGCAAAGCAAACAATGAGACCGTGAACTATCGCTTACCCACTCACAGTTTGCAAGCACACTTTTAAAACCATGTTGACGGTAGCCCAACATTTTTGCCTGCGCAAAATCATGATCAATTTCAAACTGCAAAAAAAAAAAAAAAACAGGTAACCGCAAAAAGGCAAGCCCAATTGCTGAAAATCACACAAAATTTTCCTTTTGTTATCTATCTCTTGGTTACAATGTGTAAAGTTCAAGGTTTGGTGGGTAAAGTTCCTGGATTTTCGTCAGTTTTCAAGGCCTACAGAGAGATCTTGGCAGTTCCCAACTTTTTCAAGCTCTCAAGGTCAGTTACGAACCCTGTAATAAGCATCCATACATAAATTTTTAAATCTTCTGAGGGAGACAGAATGCTTTTTGGCACATCCAGAGTACAGGAACATTACATCTGTTAGCCAGAAATCAACAGAAGATGCCTACCAACAACATACTCTATATTTCACTGCCACAGTAGGGGAGGCTCGCACTTGTTGTGAAGGCCAGGAAATTGTCAAGAGCTGCCTGCTCATCATCATTATTTTTGTTTAGTATTTTCCTGGTAATTGCTTCCACATGTTTGGGAATAAGTATGTACAGTGTTGCTATGTTACTTTGTGTGTGTGTGTGTGTGTGTGTGAAGAGCAGTGATTATACCCTGAAAATGGAATGAGATCTCTCACTTAATGGTTTTATGGTAACAGCATTAAATAAAACCAAAGTATTGGCTCCAATGAAATGCCACACATGTGGGGGTTTCCTCTAAAGCAAAATTGAACTCCTGTTCAACCTGTTATGATGGATTGCATCTTTTGGAGCTACATTGTCAACATGGAAAAACAAAATCTGTTGACAGTGGTACACCCTATAACAGTTTATTATGCTGGCTTTTCATGTCAAGAGTCCCAGGTTAGAATCCCTGGTGAGGTTATGGGGTTTTCCTGTTGGGGACAAAATTAACCCTAAACTGCTCAGTCTGGTGACTTCACTAACCCTGTGGTTTATGGTATGACCCCCCCCCCCCCCCCTCTTTCCCAGCGTAAAAGTGGTAAATACAGGCAGTAATCAACAGTTGGGTAGATACACCCTATCACCATTCTATTGGGTATTTCTTTTAAACGGTCACTACTGTCTGTTTTACCCCTTTTTAGGGCGGTGTAGACAGGGGGTGCTTGAGCCTGAGGATTTAGGGCTGCATGGCTAGTGCTGTCGCCACAGACTGTGCAAGTTAGGATGTTTAGTTTTGCCCCCGACAGAAAAACTCCATCACCTTACCGGGAGTCGAACTCGGGTCTCCGGCATGAGAGCCTGACATTATATCCTCTCGGCCAGCCACTCCTCTCTATTAGGTATAGCTATTGCATTCGAAATCATTAAGTAATAAGCAGTAGGATTATGCTAAGGGTCATGGTAACCCAGCATTGACCGTTCTTGCCTTAATTGAACTGAACTGTCAAGTGCCAGTTGCTCTAAAATTATCATACTAGCACCACACACACACACACACACAGTATGCCTTATCATCTGTAAAGGGATCCTGTACTGACCATTATGCCGTTGAATGATATATGACAGAATGTTTCATTTATTTCAGGGGATTTGTCCAGACATTGTAAGTACCTTGTTTGTTTTAGTGTTTGTATGTCTGTATCATGTGTTGATTTTATTCAAGAACCAATATGACAGCGCTCAGGGCATTCCCATAAGTGCTCCGTCCCCATCTTCAGCAGCCATTGCAGAGTTCCGATATTAATGATGCCAGTAGAATTCTGACTAAACGTCCATCTTGCCTTTCCTCTGAGCCTCGAGCATTTGCCAGAACCCCTCGTCACTCCCTGCTGCATCAATCTCACCAGACTGTGGTGATCCATCTGCTCCTCCGAACTGTACACGCTCTCTCACAAGGCACTAACCACGTCTGCCTTATCACGCATCAGTATTCCACCAAAGTTGTGCAGAGCCAGCTAGTCTGCCTGCCTGTTCATTTCCCAACACACCCGCTTTTCCTGGAGAAAGAAATGCAGACAGTACTCCTCACCTCTGTCCTCCACAGTGAAGCATGCCACTCTGCACGAAGCATGCCTGTCCTGACCTTCCTCAACATGCTTTCTGAGTCAGTTACAATCATGATATGTGTGTGTGTCGTGTTCTCTAACCAGCGGAAAGCTGCAGTGACCACCTCCAGCTCCATTCTTAAGCTGGATGTTGTGGTATCATATGCTAGGCTCTCCTGCACCGAACGTCGACCATGTATGGGATGTGTGTATCATATTTTCAATCTTCAACATGTTTTAGTAGCTGTTGGTTCTGTAGTTATGCTGTCTGAAGCTTTCTGAGTCTGCTGAACAACCTGAACATATTTAAAGGCTGCAGTCAGTTTGAGCTTTTGACTTTTTAAGCTTATTGACTTATCCATAGTCAGTGCTTAAAAAGGTGCCAAAATAGGACCCATGATATTCTCTATTGTCAGCGTTATGGCCCCTGAACTGAGTTGAAAAGCCCTGGTGTAAAGAGATCAGTAATTATCTGCAATATCTGAAACCTTTATACATTGGGCTCAGGTCTCGGACCCATGATATTCTCTATTGTCTACATTATGGCCCCTGAGTGAACTGAGTTGAAAAGCCCTGGTGTAAAGAGATCAGTAATTATCTGCAATATCTGAAACCTTTATACATTGGGCTCAGGTCTCGGATCCATGATATTCTCTATTGTCAACATTATGGCCCCTGAACTGAGTTGAAAAGCCCTGGTGTACAGAGATCAGTAATTATCTGCAATATCTGAAACCTTTATACATTGCACATGTTGTCTCAGTGGCTATGTTTCTCAACGGCTCATGTATTTTCATGTAGATCATGAACCCACATGGATACCCCTCACGTATGACTGTGGGCAAGCTTATGGAGCTGCTTGGCAGTAAGGCTGGAGTTCTTGAGGGCAAGTTTCATTATGGCACAGGTCTGGTTTTGCTGTCTTTTGCTTAACAGTTTTAGTGTTTAGCTTTTTTCTTTAACTTCATTTTCTCTTCATTACATGGTAACATAGTATGGAATATTTTTTCTTTCGTTACTATTCTTGTTGACACTTTTAAATGTAAACAAATTTATTTTTATCAACTGTTAATATTTACAGGTTTTTATTCCATTCATCTTTTCTTTGAAAGAGTATAGCCATATTGCTTCAAATTCTTATTGATTTTTGCATAGGGTTACCAGACGTTCCATTGCTCTGGGACAATCCCTGTATTTGAAAAAAAAACTATTTCAAAAATGGCTTTTGAGGTGCCTGTTTATTCCAGTATTTCTCTTTGATAAAAATCACATGGAGAAGAGAGCTGGAGAACGAAGTTAGAAAGATGGGGAGTCCATGGGGAGAGCTCCATGAAATGGTGAAGGATAGAACGACTTGGTGTGAGTTGGTTGAGGGCCTGTGCTCCATTGAGGGATAGAATGGCAAAAGAAGAAAAAGAAGAAGAATTAAAGATTTCATTATATTCATCTCCTTATCGGTTTACAGAACTGCTAGAACTGTTCAGGTCTCCCTTCTCCTCCCCAACCCCCTTCTCCACTGTTTCTAGAAGTTGTGACATGTGACAGAATTAGTTGTAAACTGTGACAGGGTGGTTTCTGTGTCAGGGGAAACAAATGGCCTCTTATATGCTGTCGATGCTAATGAATGTGTATGATCATAGCATGGGATTTCAGAATGCTGAAGAGAAAGTGTTCCTTCCAGAAACATATTCAGAATAATGGACATTCATTTTTAAAAAAATATGTAACTGCGCTGCTGATATCTTAAACAGTTATAGGATGGTTACTTCTTTAAAAAATTACTTATTAGATTCTTAATTATGTTCATGATTAAATTTTTTTGCTGTGCTTATAGTCTCATGATAAAGAATGTCAAAGATCATTCTGAACAAAACATGTCTTTTAAAATGGTGTATGGAACCTTTTCTTGCATCATAACATAGTGTCTTGCGCTGTAACTACCAAACAACTCTTGATGTGCTGTATGTCATTGTCCTCCTGTTTTAAAATATTTCCTTCTCAGGGTTATGGGGAAATATCACTGGCAATGTTGGTGTTGTTGAATTTGCTACTGTGCAGCGCCTTTTTTTTTTTTTCAATTTTTTCTCTGTTTTGTATTACAGCATTTGGTGGAGATAAAGTCTCTGATCTGTCTGAAGTGCTGATTGAACATGGCTTCAATTACATGGGCAAGGACTATGTCACGTCTGGCGTTACTGGGTACAAGATTACTTTCATTCAGTTTGCCATATTTGTTCATAAAACAGAATTACTAGCTTATGCAGAAAACTTCTTGTTGGATGATGTGATCCCATTATGACTTCCTTGCAACATGTGTTTTAGAATAATGCTCCTTTGTGAGCTCTACTTAGTCTTCGTAAAGTATACAAAATGCCATTAATGTTATATATATATATATTGCGAGTCTGACTCGTAATCCAACGTACCGCGATCGAAACCTACGTGGGCTGCGTGGATTTTTATCGTGGTATGGGACGTCGCAGGTCGACCCAGCCTCAAATGGGTACCAGGATGGGCTGTCCTGGGAAAGTAAAGACGGCTGGCGTAATGCTGACCACATTACCCACCGAGTGCCGATTGGTTTGTAAAAATATGGGTGCTCTTCCCAAATGCCTGATGATCCTAAGGGCGTGTAAAGGGATCTTTACTTTACTTTTATATGTGTGTGTGAGTGTTTGTGTTTCGAGGGGCAGACGGAGTTCATATGGGTTTATAGCAAAGGTGAATAAACGTCGCATAGGGCAACAAAGCCTGGCATATGATATCACATCTAGTTTGAGAATGGAGGTGGAGGCAGTCACTGCTGCCTTCCGCTGGTTTGAGAATCAGCTGTACTCACATGCAGTGATTGTCACTGACTCACAGAGCATGTTAAGAAAGGTAGAGACAGTTATGCTTCGTGCACAGTGGCAAGCATCACTTCAGAGGTCCCGGTTAGTTAGTATCCTTTGGATATTCTCTCCAGGTTATATCAGTGTGTTGGGAAATGAGCAGGCAGATAGACTGGTCAGTTCTGCACCACTTGGTGATGAATTGGATATATGACAAGCTAGTCGTTGAGAGGGCCCTCTGGGAGCGAGTGAAAAGTGTGGAAACGCAAATAGATCATTACGGTCTGAGGAGAATGGCGCTGGGAGGAGTTACACGGGATCTGGCCAATGCTCAACACTCAAGGGAAGGGTGAGGCGGATATGCAATCAGACAGTCACTGGTGCCCTTGGAATTGGAATTCTTCGTTTGCTTTTGAAGATGGGGACGGAGCGCTTATGGGGGTGTCCCGAGTGATATGATGTTGATCCTTAATTCAACATCAGATGAGTTTTGTTGTACATCATGTCTCCATGATGAAGTGGTCATGCTGTTTGCCTCACAGCCTGAAGGTGATGGGTTTGTTTCAAAGACTGCATTCATTTGTTTTCCAACTGCTGTTTGTATAGAGATCCCCTGCGATCATTCCAAGGTTTGCAGAGTTGATGCAATTATGCAATGCTCTTAGCAGGTGTCTTCCATTCTACAAAGAGACGGAGCCACGTGGAATCAAATCTTATGCAGTGAAGTTGATACTCTCAACATTAAATGTCCTGTCTTTTAATAAGTTTGTGTACTGAAGTTTCTGTTGGAGTTATTCTAAAAACATTCTGTATTTTGAATGTTTCTCGACATTTAATGCAACAACTGTATACTGTGATGTATTTTATTGACAATCTCTTTATTTTTTATTTTTGTTGTTGAAAAATTGGAACCAAGTATTATATTGTTAAAAATAAATATCCCAACCTACAAACTCCACGGTGACAGCACTAGCCATGCAACCTAAAACCTGAGGCTTATGACCCGCCTGTCTACACCTCAGTAAAAGGTAGTAAATGCAGACAGTAAAGGACTGTAGGAAAGGGCAGTAGGAGTGACCATAAGAGATAAGATCAGGAATGAGATCATAAGAGAACAAGTCGGCACAAAACCAATTCTGGATTACATACAAAGACAGCAAGTGAAATGGTTTGCCCACTTAGAGAGAATGCCTTGTGACACCATACCATACAAAGCATACATGGAAAGAGAAGAAGGACGTAGAGCACGGGGTAGACCAAGAACAAGATGGAAGGATAACATCAGAGAAACTCTACAACAGCACGATGTGCCTATGGTCGAGGCAGCTAGAAACAGAACCTTATATCTCCCTCGACACCCACAGCGGTAAAAGAGGAAGTGAAGAAGAAAGGACCTTTTTCCCAGCCTTCTGATGTATTGAGCATTTAGGGTTAGACCTTTGGGGTTTTTCTGACCAGTCAGCCCTCAGTGGGTGATATGGTCGAAATTTACAGCTGGGTCGACCAGGAAGCCACTGCCATTTTTGAAAAAAGTCCTGTTTTCTTCAGATCTAAACCCATGACCTCAGGATCTGCAGATGAGCATCTAGCCAGTACACTGTGGCAGCACCCAAATATAGACAGAAGTGGCAGTCTTTTTGTCTTCATTTAAATGAATTAATTTCAACAATACAATATTTCAACAATACAATATTTCAACTATACAATATTTCAACAATACCTATTTACAAGCAACAAGAGTAAAATTTGTGACTGATACTGCTCATATGTTGCTTATTTATGTATATTATAATATCACCACGGGCAGGTTTTTTAAAATAAATCTTGTACATCTATTATGTTTCGAAATGTATTTAATTGTTTGTTTACCATTAAATTACTGCAGAGTTATTAAGTGGATACTCAAGTATTTACATTATTAAATGTATGCTTATGACTCCACAGAGAGCCTTTGTCTGCATACATCTACTTTGGTCCAATCTACTACCAGAAGTTGAAACACATGGTGTTGGACAAAATGCATGCTCGTGCCAAAGGTCCTCGGGCTGTGCTCACCCGCCAGCCAACAGAGGGTCGATCTAGAGATGGTGGTCTGAGATTAGGAGAGATGGAGAGAGATTGCCTGATTGGATATGGTGCTAGGTAAATATTAGTATTTAACTGTTGTAGTTGTATATCTGTCTTTTTCCTAATCCTTGGCAAACTATAGAGGCAGATTGTGATCATTTTACTGCAGGAATCCTCAAAGTAGCAGATTGTGTGACTGTAAAACAAGTAAAGGCTGTTCAATAGAAATCAGAGAAATGACTGCACAACCACTGATAGCAATAGTTTTGACAAATAAGATGGTGATTTACTGGACAAATACTCAGATGCAGTGTGCAAAGTGTCAAACAACATGAGACACGTACTCAGATGCAGTGTACAAAGTGTCAAACAACATGAGACTCAGATGCAGTGTACAAAGTGTCAAACAACATGAGACACATACTCAGATACAGTGTACAAAGTGTCAGACAACATGAGACACATACTCAGATGCAGTGTACAAAGTGTCAAACAACATGAGACACATACTCAGATACAGTGTACAAAGTGTCAGACAACATGAGACACATAGATGCAGTGTACAAAGTGTCAAACAACATGAGACACATACTCAGATACAGTGTACAAAGTGTCAGACAACATGAGACACATACTCAGATGCAGTGTACAAAGTGTCAAACAACATGAGACACGAACTCAGATGCAGTGTACAAAGTGTCAAACAACATGAGACACATACTCAGATACAGTGTACAAAGTGTCAGACAACATGAGACACATACTCAAATGCAGTGTACAAAGTGTCAAACAACATGAGACATGTACTCACACAATAGCCACATCTGTAACATGGATGTTCACAACAATTTCTGGATGTCCACAACAATTTCTGGATGTCCACAACAATTTCTGGATGTCCACAACAATTTCTGGATGTCCACAACAATTTCTGGATGTCCACAACAATTTCAAGCTCTGGAACAACTTCTGAGTTCAGAAGTTCATCATTAAAGGATTCAGCAGTCATGACAAAACCTGCACATAGATGCTGCATTAAACATATCACAAGTTTAGTGGTAACTAGTCACCCATCATTTTATAAATATATATTTCATAACACAAAATTATCTTGGACACAAATGAGGAAGCACTCGACATGAAATCCACAACTCACATTTTCGCACTAAGCAGTCAACACAGTATCTGGGCAATGGAACCATTTGTTTCATACCATCTTTATCTCTACTCCTGAACAACCACACAATTCACAAAGTACAGTTAATATTGCATCACATCTTCCTGAGATGTCTATGTGGACTATTAGAGAATTTAACTCACACAAAACTCACAGAGAAAAAAATCAAATTTTCATCAAGAAACACTGTTTTAGTGCTTTCCAGTTTGTCATAAACTTTTTTTATCATTTTCACTTCTGTTTTATAGAGTTTGCATTCTCACCCACTTGTGCTCAGCACCTAGTTTACTTTCATTTAGTTTCTTAAAGCAAAGGTAGCATTACCGTAATTAGGAGTCGTGGGTGCAAATGCAAATGTCATATAGTATAAATTCATTATACATATTTATTTTACTTACTGACTTTATAATATCACATTTGTTTTCTGTCAGCTGAGCTCTAGTGTGAGAAAAGTTTCTTTGACGTTATAAACCAGTTTAGTTTGTTAATCTTGGAATCTATCACATGCGGTATTTCTGAGTTAATTACCTCCTTAATCTGAGGGCACAAGAGTTTTGCAGATCTTTTTCTTCCTAATCACTAGCTCTGACCTCCCATAGAAAATTCTGGTTTTTCCACACCTGGACTTTGGTCTTGATCCATAACTTGAGTATTGTGTGCACATGTGGTTTTAAACATCTGGGTTATTTTCTGTGCAGACTTTATTTCTTGCCTCTCAGGCAGAGCTCTCTTGACTGTGAAGGAAATATTCTTCATGAGTCATCTCCTACTACATGCTTGTTAGAGGGCAGTGGGTATATTCTTTGTTCTCCAAAATGTAGCCCGGACCCAGCGGGGGAAATGCAAATCAATCCCTGAACTTTTTTTGTACTACTGTTCATAAAGCATTTTCAGGGTTTTGATAGTTTCACAGAGCAGCAAGATCCCCCAATCCTCCCTCCCCTGTTGTTTTGTAAACCCTGAAAATATCCCTGAGCAGCAAGCTTACCCTCAGAACATGTCTGACAGTAGCAGTTTTTGCTGCTAGCCACTGGGACCAGGGTTAAAAGTCATACAAGCAGCAAGATCATCTTATGTCTGCAGACCTGACAAGATTTTCTCTCTGCATTTTAGAATCTCATCAGCTCTCTCATTAGCTGGGAGATAGCCAGCTTGTTTGATTGCAGGTATTGTAAACAGTTGAGGATACAACTGTACAACTATTATGTTTCAGTATGCTTCTTTTGGAGCGCCTCATGATTTCAAGTGATGAATTTGAAGTGGATGTGTGTGGTCAGTGTGGCTTGATTGGATACTCAGGCTGGTAAGTTGTATGTAGACAGTTGTTAGTCATGCATTTACTTGAAGGGAGGGTGGAGTAGGGAATGAGAGTGATTTGTTCAATGATCTGCAGTTGTTAGTTGCATATCCTATACAGGACGTTGTAGTACCAACCCCAGCATTTTTTGTTTGTTTTGCTGTTGTGGTTTTCCTAGGCAAGTTTACGTCCAGTAGTTTGTCATTGCTTTCTGGACGATCAGCTTCTTGCTCGATACCACTGTCGAAACCAGTGCAAGGCCCGCAGCAGGGATCGAACCCGGCATTACAAAGCACGTTTGTAACACCTAAGCCACAGAAAGGTATTAGAATGTTTCTAAAGATACAGTGATACAAAGGAATGCTGTTGTTCTCTTGAATGTGTGACATCATCTGCCAGTTTAATCACAGTGCCTTGTGGCTTGTAGTGTATAAGCATTCATGTTACGTATGCTTATTTTGCTTACTAATACAACAGACTTGTTTGGATATTCATGCCAGTTAGTAAATATGTTTTCTTGTGTTGATGATTGTTTCCCAAGTTGTATTCATGGATGTCATGATTCCAGAAATAATCTTTCTCTCTTTTATCATTTTCTCTGCCTGTCTGCAGTAGCATTGAAATATTAGTTTTAAATCAGTATGAAGACATGGATTAATTTAGGTTAGTGGAGTCGGGTGGAGGATACTGGCTAAAGTATGCAGTGACATAGCTGCAGTTAAGATTGGCAGCTGGATTGCTGTCCAGGGTGTCAGTCGTATTCTTGTCAAATGTATCTGATCATCACCTCAGTTTGCTTATCCAACCCCCCTGGACACACCTATTTTTCAGTTTATGATAGTAACCTCAGCAGTGTTTTGTTGGCATTCTTGATATGATTAATTGTTTCCTTATTGTCAGCTGTTTCCAACTGTCATTTTTAACTAATACAGGGTGTTCTTTAATCCCTTTCTCTTTGTGGAATTGTTCTGTTGTTGTTTTTCTATTACTGTGTTGAATATTTTTAATGTTGCTAACATATTGTTTACAAGTGTAATGAAGACCATGTTCTACTTTTTCATCCTCAGGTGCCAGTATTGTAAGTCATCCAGTGATGTCTCAACGTTGAAAATGCCATATGCATGTAAACTGTTATTCCAAGAGCTGCAGTCAATGAATATTGTGCCTAGATTATCTCTCAAGCGATACAATGAATTGTAGTGCTGAAATTTAACTGAAAAACACAGTTTTTGCCACAAATTATTGAATTTATTTTCACAGAAATTATATTATATTGTGATAAAATGTATTGGTTGTTCCTCATTCCTAAAAGTAGCATAATTAATTCTTCATCATCGTGTGAGCCTTTGCAGAACATCACACTTATCATAATTCATTAGATTGATTCTTGATAAGTTATTTCTCTTCAGACATTTTCATGCCTTCTGTGTCACATGTGGGATTCACTGGCTTGATGGTTCCCTCTATGCCACACCTACAGAGAGCAGCAGATTTGAATTCCCCTTCTGCTAAGTCAGATACCCACTGATGGACATAGGAAATACTCCTGTCTGTAGTAATGCCAGACCCACTGATGAACATAGGAAATACTTCTGTCTGTAGTAATGCCAGACCCACTGATGGACATAGGAAATACTTCTGTCTGTAGTAATGCCAGACCCACTGATGGACATAGGAAATACTTCTGTCTGTAGTAATGCCAGACCCACTGATGGACATAGAAAATACTCCTGTCTGTAGTAATGCCAGACCCACTGATGGACATAGAAAATACTCCTGTCTGTAGTAATGCCAGACCCACTGATGGACATAGAAAATACTCCTGTCTGTAGTAATGCCAGACCCACTGATGGACATAGAAAATACTCCTGTCTGTAGTAATGCCAGACCCACTGATGGACATAGAAAATACTCCTGTCTGTAGTAATGCCAGAGAGGCTAATCAAGAGTACTGAAGACACACCTCACAAGCAGACAGTATACCTGAGGAGCCACAGCTCCCATCCAGACTGGTTAAAGAAGGGTTTGGTGACATATCCTATTTAGCAACTTTTTTGCTCTGGCAGGCTACTTTTCATTTCCGAAATGAATGGTAAATAACTGTATAGCTTATAAACAGAAACTAATAAAGAGTACCAAAAATGGGCAAAAATAAAGGCTGTAACCATGGACACAAGTATGCATAATTTATAAACATTCAAAAAAGTATTACACTTTGTAATGAACAGTAAAACACTGCAGTAAAACAAATTGACATTTACTTTTAAAAGAGGCAGTTGCCTTGCATCCAGACGCTTGACAGTGCATTCCTTTGAGTTTACCATGCTGCAAATCAAATCATCTAACTGCTAATCTCAAATCAAATAATCATCACTTATTAGGTTTCTTACCTGAGATTTTATTGCATTCATTGTAGAAACACTTATTCCCATTAATATGTAGACCCGCAAAAAAATAATGTAATTTAAAATGCTATCTTTGACATATTTGGATAGGATTCTTTTGAAAGTAATTTCCAGAACTCAGAAACATTCAGTTTTCGAGGAGTAACAAGTTGATTTGTCTCTAACATTTTAAAGATCTCACGTCTAATGACATCCACATCAAAGTCATCAACTTTCCTTTTCCCAAAGTCATCAACTTTCCTTCCTTGCTTGACATGAGCGTACTCTGTGTACTATCTGATCCAGCGGTTAAATGATGCTCTATCCAGACTAAGCGCCAGTCATGTTCATTTCTCAGGGTCATGAATATCACAATATAAATGGCCCATCTTAGATTCCCTTGAGGAAGTGCTGGTACAGTAAAATGGTAACCTTCTGCATTGTTATACATTTGCATTTGAAATTGATGTCTGTGTCAGCTTTTATAAGCTAGCTATACGACACAATCACTCAACACTAATTTGTGGATGACATAAGCAAAATATTGTGATTTGGTCTGTTCAGTTCAGATGATTGAAGATCATGATGATGTTTTTTTTTTTAAACTTTCCTTGAGGTGGCATCTATTTAGGCCCAAACAGATACACACCAACATTTTATGCCCAAAGACTTTTGAATTACAAAACACAAGACCTTCTGAAGTTTATATTCTAGTGACTTGGTGATCTCCCCCCCCTCCCCCCCCCCCTCCTTTTCTATTTTGATGTATGGTGTATGCATTTGCTGACAGCTGGTTTTTTGTTTTTAAATATAACTATCATTACAATAATCACAAGCAGACTGCAGTCTAACATGAGTGTGAATGCAACCCCTGATGGCTTGCAAGGCATGTGATCTGTTCACAAATAAACTGTGCAGTGCTTTCTAAAATAGTGAAATGTTTCCTGTGTGCACTTTTATATTATAATCAACAACTTATCAAAACAGGGACAGTATCTTGTTTGATAGAACCAGTTGCATTCACCGTTCCCTTCTTGGAGTCAACCACACTGACCTTGGCTGAATTTAGAATCCCCTGTGTAACAGTTTTTGATATGCTTTGTCTGTCAGCCTGCTTCTGTATATGCATGTCTGTATATTTATGTGTGTGTGCATGCATGTAGGTAAGAATGTACGTACTCATGCTGAATTATTTTTCAAATGTGATATGTTTTTTTTTTTAATGTTAAACTTTGGCTACTGTACACCAGTAGGACACATATGCCTTCTTGTAGGGAGTTGGCAGTCCAGATCCTGGGTTCAAGGTTTTTTTTATTCATGTCAAAGAAGTGCATGGGGTGTAGCTTGCACAGTTACTAATGAATGCAGTCAGGTCATTGTTGGGGAGATGCTTGGCTGATGGATGTAATGTCCCTGGCCCCCTACCTAGCACAGAGGCTACACTTTACTAAAGTGACTGCTTATCAACCCTCTCAAAACTGGGTATCACTATGGATTCAAGTTCAACCAATAATAAGAATTGTTGCCAAAGCCACAGAGTGCATGCACTGAGCTTGATACCTTCTTCATTAGCCAAAGAATACAGAGTAAGGGTTAGAAAACAAGGAAATGAGAAGGGATAAAGAAAGAGGAGGGCAGGTGTCAGAAAAACTTGATCATTGCAGTTTAGTTTCTTCCAGCATTTATATCCGTCTTCTTCTTCTTCTTCTTCGCGTTCACCAGCTGTAAACTCTAGCGGAAGGTTCTGGTTGCTCGTCCACTACTGAACTGCAGTCCTGCTCCAGAACCTGAGTGTTGCGTGTGCATCAGTTTTACAGATCTCATTCTCTTGAATACAGACTGTTGGTTCCTTGCCTCTCCGGCAGATGCACTCCAAATTCAAAGGAAGCTCCCCAATTAGTCGTCTCTTACGACATGCTTTTGGGGAGGCAGTGGGTCTATTCTTGTTTTCCTCACAATGGGGCCCCGGAACCCACACGGGGGTTATCCGTCTTAAGATCGCAAATGTTCAAGCGCTGTCAATGTTGCCAACAGAAAGGCATTTTAGAGCATTCCAGAAGATTTGCTAGTAAGCCAAATTGTACACTTTTTGGCAAGGAGCTGCCTACCCTACAAATCCACTAGAGGTCAGTTGTAGTTCACTAGCCTGCTAGAGGGAGTCAGACAACAAGTTTTTGAGACAGTGCTGTTTTTGAGCCGGTTTTCTTGGATTTGTAGATCTGATAAAATTGTGCTGATTGATCTTCATTAGACTATGAATTCTTCTGGAGCACTTCAGTTCTGAAGCTTCAGTTTTCTTCTTTAGTGACTGCAGAATGACCCATCATTCACATCTATATGCTGCTGGAGCACAGATGATGTTCTAAAAATGTTTACTTTCATTATTGTTTCAGAATTACACACAATTTTTGTGTATTTCAGAATGTGTACATGAGTTTGTTTACATATATGTGTGTGCTTGTGTGTGTGTGTATATATAAATAAGCATAAAGGTTTGTGTATAACACACGCACACCAATCTTTTAAGAACTGTTGTGAAATAAATGTAGAGAAAAACTGAGATTTGCTGATTCTCATTCACTCATTTTGTTCTTATTGTTTGCCATTGTTTCTTGGGGATTATGATAAATTGTGTCTATCAGTTTATCTTGAGAGACTTCTTAAACTGTACCCATAGTCACAGTTTGTTGGTCTTCTTCATATTTTTTTGGTGTCACCACATCTATGTGGATGTCACTTGAATTGTATATCAGATGTTTTGTTTGTTTCTTCCCTGCTGAGTTGTTCCTCTTCATCAGCAGATCTTAGTTAATTGGGTTATCAGCATTGCACTCCTGACATGTCCATAGGTGCTCAGATCCTCCTCTCAGAATTAACCCCAGTCCGGTGTCTAATAGCACAAGCTAAATGTTGATTAACAAGTCCTGTTATGTGCCCGGTTTGCATCTTGTTTTTTGCTTTGCTGATCTTTACTTCCAGATTCTTATCTCAGCTCGAATTTGGCTGTTGTTTGGCACTACTGTATCTGTATTTCCTCCAGCCGTTCAGTCAGAACATTCCAGTACATTCTGCTTGATTGTACTACCATGTATAACATGGTTTTGTTATAATGTAAATGGCAAAATATACTGGACATTTATGTTGGACTACTCCAGGGTTCTGCAATTCACCGGTGCTCTTTAATGTGCATACAAGCAGGATTGCAGTACTTAAAGCACCAGGTGTTGGGGGGGATATTGACATTTGCTGATGATGGTCTTGCATACAGTCAAGGGAATGATAGACAACGGATAGCCCATGAGGTGCAGGCAACTGTAAACAGACTGACTGACTGGTGTGCAGAAAAGGATGCTGTCATAAACTCAAAACAGGTGGCTGTTTTGTGGTTCTCTCTGGACAATAGAATTGTAAGAGCTGATGTTACACGCCTTACAGTTAATAACACTAACATCAAAAGAGAAAACAAACTGAGGTACCTGGGCCTCACTTTCGATAAAAGCCTGTCCTAAAGGGATCACGTGGAGACAGTTGTGATGAAATGCTAAAAAGGACTCAATGCTCTCAAGATTATGGCAGCGATGAACATGTAACAAAGAACGCTCGCTGTTCATAATGTTGCAGCATATGATCCTGTCGGTGATAGATTATGGACTTGGAATGCTTACCATATCAAAGTCAGCCGATGAAACTTGAGCATATACAAAGTGAAGCCATGCAAGTAATTCTGGGATGTACAAGAAATACCCCGGTAGTATGTATGCGACATTTTATTTGCACTGCCTAGGATTGCAGATAGGCTCAAAGTTCTGGAGGCAA